GACTTTGTATTCCATTGGCAGTCACAAAACTCTTCGGAACGACATCTCAGATAAATAACAGGTTAACTATTAACCTTTATTTAATGCAGGTTTTGAACCGTATTCTTTGAAGGAGACGATTATATTCAAATCAATCTGTATTGACATATCAATAACATTTTTTTGTCCAAATGCACAGATTGCCACCTTTGATAATAGACGACTCATATACGATATACATTATCTATATATATAAAAATGAATTGCTGTTCGTTAGTCTCGCTAAAACTCGAGAACGGCTGGACCGATTTGGCTAATTTTGGTCTTGAATTATTTGTGGAAGTCCAGAGAAGGTATATGAAGGTACATGGAAGGTAAATGAATGAAAATGCTCGGAATTAAATAAAAATAACAATTTTGTTTTTCCTTTGATGCGTCCCCCGTCGGACTTATTCCTTTTGTTTGTTTTAATTTTATTTTATACATAAGTTTAGTTCTTTTATTTATCGATTGAGGCACTACGAAGTTTGCCGGGTCAGTTAGTACCTAGGTACCTAATAAAATAGAATGGCTTGCTGTTATATATATATTATATAGGATAATCTGTATGTAGGAAGCTAGTCAATCAATTCTAACTTTCATAGGTTGTAATTGTGCTGTAATTTAGTAGTAAAATTTCAGTCTGGTGTAGTGTACTTACTTATACTAAGTAAAATCAAAGCAATTGTTCACAATTGCTAAATGTCATCGCGAGAAGGGCGAGATACATATCCAATAATGGGTTTTGTGCACAATCAGTTATTTATTGAATGGATCAATTTCAATATTCTTAAAAGCAGCTGGTTTTTATCAGTGGTTATGTTGCTTTGCTTTTCTTTGACAAGACAACTTATTCTGCATTTTTAGTTAACTTAACAAACCAGATGTTCCTGTCACATTAACATCAGCATAAGCAATGTATATACCCAAATGTTTAATTATGTGAGCAACAAAATTACAAAATTAAATGACAGTCTATGGTTTTTTTAATTTTTATTTACTTAGCACATATTGATTCATGACGAAGCTACAGCCTTCTTGGGCGGCGTTGGTTTCCCTTCTTTAAAACCATTACGGAAGCGCCTCCTGACAATCTTCAAATGACGCATGCGGCCAGTTCCAGTAGTCTTCCTGCGCTTAGCCTTCACTGACCAGTGGTCTGGAAATGTTTTTTAGCAACATATTAAAAATCTGTGCTACTGGTAAATAATAATTTTTAACTTGTCTTTGTATTTTACTTTTGGTTAACCTTTTCATAAAGAACAATTATGGTTGTTAAGTTTTTGATAAAACCAAACTTGTTGTTGGTTATTCTTAGTAAAGTGTGATGATAACTCACATTCAATATTCATTATTGACTTATAATTTGCAAGCAGATGACTACATCATAAATGATCACAGACCATAGGCATCAGAAATAGAAGGGGCAGTTTGCCTGTAGCTACTGTCTGGCCGTAGTGGACTCTTTTTCAAACTTTCCCATTTTAAAACATGTAATAGTGGTCAAGAAGGTGATGGTGAGGGAATTCATTCCAGAGTAAATTTTTTTTGTAAAATAAGATTACTCGGAGAATATGATGATCTAAAATACTCCAAATACAACAAGAAACACAAAATGTCAGGGTTTTGCTCATTAGACACATCTTAAAACGACTTACATGTAATCAGGGTGGTGGTATATAATTGTATTATAATTTGTAAAATAAGAGGGAAGTGTGTACACAATACATACCACAATTGGAGTTTAAATAATGACAAAAAAGAAAAAAACCGTGTTTATTTGAGTGCAGGTAAATATAATTCATTCTAAAAAGTCAGGATTTAATAGCTTATTCTGTCAATGTTTCATTTTTTTGATTGTTAATGTTCCCTAATACATTTAAAAAGAGATGCTGCACAGACAAAATATTGATCTATCCAAGTTAAGTTATCCATTCATAAATCAATGTACAGAATGATTATATGGAATATATCTTACACTACAGTGCCTCTAGATGTTAATGAAGCTTAACTTAATAATTTCATTGAATTTTAGGTTAGGATTTAGAAGTTGATTAGTGACATAGTGCACAAATTATTGTGATACAACAAATTTGACCATTTTAATAAACATGCAACTGCAATATGTACCCTTATTAAATTTGTATAAAGTACCAAGGTTCGTTTGCCCGGCAGTATTACAGATGTGTGAAATACAGTAACGATTTTATATGTATAAAATCACATAGATAGGTACTTCCATTACTGTACCTACATTTTACAAGGTAATATTCTAGTAGCGGAATATGACCTCAATCAGAGTAGGTTTCATGTAAAGGTTTCAACATAATGCCAGTTAATTTATATTATTTACAATCTAGTTAGTGAGATGTAGAAATAAGTACTTACAGGATCGTAATTTTGCTGCAGGATATCCACATTGGGCGCATTTTGATTTTTGAATGTGATATGACGATCTACCACATCTTCTGCATAACGTATGGGTCTTATTTCGGCGCTTACCGAAGCTTGAGGTACCCTTCGTCTGAAATTGACATTGCAGGTTAGGATATGCTCAGCTGAATTTATTTCACAAATATTCAATATTTTGACATCTTATCTACAACATAATTATTTTGTCAGTTTGGATTCACTCATTTCAATTTGATTAGAAATGATTAAATAGGATATAAATTTTAATAAACATTACGCTACCATCTTGTCACTCTTGACAATCCGAAAGAGATATAAAAAAAATTACAACAATAAACTAGCAAGGAGATTGCGAGTGTTGCCACTGTACTCAAATATATTAAGTGTATAATCTATGCCACTGTACATACGCTGTAGTGATAATAATAAACCAGGCTTAGGAAACAAAAACCGATGTGCACCGGGTTTGTTTTAAAGAAAACTGATTAAACTTTGAATAGGGTTTTTTGTCCTACCTAAGCTGAAAGCCTTGAGAGGCTATTTCAGCGTAATCCTAACTTTAGTAGGTGAGCTCACGGGGCTCAAACCTGACGATGTTGCTAACACGAACCCTAGCAAGAGCCGTGCTTCGCAGAATCTACCACCGGATCGGAAACGCGACCCACTGAGAAGATCCGGCGAGAAACTCAGTGGGCTGTGTCTGAGAGTTAATTTACTCGTCGAGCCCTTCGTCGCAAGCGACGGGTTCGACNCTGAGAAGATCCGGCGAGAAACTCAGTGGGCTGTGTCTGAGAGTTAATTTACTCGTCGAGCCCTTCGTCGCAAGCGACGGGTTCGACGAGAACGGTGACCGGTGCTTGAAGTACCTAGAAGCACCGTTAGTGGATCGGGAGGATCCGAGATGACGTGTTTTGGGCGACGTCGACTGCTTTCCATTCTGTCCGCAGGATCGGGAATGTTGAATAGGGATTGGGAGGATCTAAAAGGCGTCACACACGGCGAAGATACTATAATATTTTATCTTAACTTAAAATATCGCTCGCTATACATTTTGTATGAACTATCATACATGGCTAAGATAATATAATATATTTTCAGATTACAGTATCTTTATACATAATTATATTGTATGTTAAGATAAAATATTATAGTATCTTCGCCGTGTGTGACGCCTTTAAGGCTACTACTTTAAATATTAGTTCCATAAAAATACATTGATAGCCAAATTAATAACGTGTTTTTTTTTAGTTTTTTAGTTAATGTTTTTATTGTTATTATATTATTATATTTGTTAATTAAATTTATATTTATGAGGACAGATAGACAAAAACAACATTCAGTAGTTAAAATACGTTAAAATACAACGCATGTACATAGAAATAGTTCGTGGCATTTAAAAATTCACATAATTTACATGTAATCATTTAATACAAAATTGTAATCAGTTTTATCGCATCGTGCTTATTCTTCTTCTTCTTCTTCTTAATTTTGGCTCGGCACCAGGTCTTAATATGTATTAGTTCACCCAATAATTATAAATCGATATTAAGAAAATAATCAATAGATTAATTAGATTTGATTCGGAATACCGAAGAGAAAAAGATGATAATGCCGGCCACTGACATGCGCGCAAATATTCGTACATTGTACGAATGTTTGCGCGCATGTGAAGGACCGTCAAACATTCATTCGCAAACCTAGCGGCTGTGCAAATGGGTTCGCATACTCAATTTGCGAACTCGTTTGCGCTTCCTCCTGCACTTGTTTACGAATTCCTCACGAATCTCTCCTCCTTTTTAATTCGTCAATAGAACATTGAAGAGAAAAAGAGTTTTGAATTCTTTCCCATACATCATTAACAGCCATGCTGTTTTTATGGGATTTCTTTTGATGAAGATACGCTACACAGTAAACGTCACGAACTATGAAAATGGCGATACGTCCGTTACCTTCGCAATCGTCGGCGCAACTGGGCAAGCGAATGTGTGGGAGACTACGCGAAGGTTCGAGGTTCGCGCGATTTGATGTCTGTTAAAAAACCGACACAGCTTGGAAAACCACGAATGCAGCGAAAACTTTGCATAATCATTTGCAAATGTCGTCCCTCACTTGCGGGTTTGCGTATTCGTGCGCATGTGAGTGGCCGGTGTTGGCGAAGAAGGTAATGTCAGTGGTGACTTTTTTTTATTGCCCTTGTAGGCAGACGAGCACACGGCCCACCTGATGATGAGTGGTTACCGTCGCCTATGGACTTCAGCAATGCCAGGGGCAGAGCCAAGCCACCACCTACCGTTAAGTACTCTCTACAAGCCTCGTTTGAAGAAAGATATGTCATAGCGCTCGGGAAACACCGTGGAGGGGAGCTCATTCCAAAGCCGGATGGTACATGACAAAAAGGATCTCTGGAAACGTACTGTGGATGACTAGGGGATTTCGTTAAAATAGAATGAATCGGAGCGCGGAAAGTCCCAACAAACGATTGCATCGATACAGTGATTAGTTTTTAGTGAACAATAAAAAAATCGATTACTAGAAAAATCGATGTGAGATCATCATCCCAAAATCATAATACATTTACAAATGGCTTCCGTCTTCATCTTGTACACTTAATTTGTTGCCTGTTGGAATGGGTTTTATTTGATTTGAGAGTTCATATTTTCGTAAGTCGATTAATTGTAAATGTCATAATATTTATTTTAACTGAAAATTATCTCACCATGTTCAGTTTCAACTATCAAAAGAGCCGGCAAATCCGCATTGGATCAATTTAATATTCTTTACTTGAAATGTCATAAAGTGCCGGCAGTCTGCAATTTTTAGAATCTTAATAATAAGCTAAGGTCTATTGTAATCCTTAACAAACTATTTTAAAATATGAGAGTAAAGTTGTTGATTATTTCGCGCAAGGTATCGATTGGCGACTCTGGTATATTATAATTATCTTCTTTTTTCAGATTAGATATTTATTTAAGGGTTTCAAGTTTTCAATTCAGTCGTTGTTAAGAAATTAATAATGGGCATACAAGACTTACAAACATTTTTAGAAAGTGAAGGTGTAGGTGTTGATCTCTTTAAAATTGCGAGAAACCATTCTGGAGGTTTGCGCCTGGTTCTCGACGCCGAAGGTTGTTTGGATCGTCTTTACGGTGGATACTTCTCAGGTGAGTTATTGAGCTAGACTTGATTTGTAATAATAATAATAACCTTAGTAAAATTTCACGAAACCTGCTAATTACCTACCTATATATAAGGGATACAAGCAAAATATACTAAACACTGAACCCTCAACATACCCTATTATCAGGTATAAAGTAGGTGTAGAATTAGATGGGAAAATGAGTGTACTATATTTAAGGACATCTTTCAAGAATATCTTAAATGCATTATAAGCCAACATAATAAAATAATAGTGTGTGTTCTCTGGATCAGATGCAAATCAATATATTAAATATGATACTTCTCTCATTTATCATGAAGCAAAATTTTGTAGATTGGGCAAGTGGTGGACAATGGGCCCGATGTGTACAGTTCTTAACAACACTAGCACAAGCTTTGGCTGAATTTCAAGTATCACTTTGTGTTTGTTTTAATGGATCTCATCCTACGCCTCCTGCATTACCCCAACATTGGATCCAGACTCAAACCATATATAAGCAAAGAGTGAATTCAGTGAGTATTTTTGTCCTGAAATATGCGATTTCATATTAATTAAAATGTATATGGATGAACTATATGGATATTGCTTATGAACATGCAGGTATATATGTATAGGAAAATATTGGTACAAAAATCCAATCTTCCATTACAGAAACACTAAAACTGTTTGACACTTTACTATATATTTATATTGGTTTTATGGCAAGGTGGTACTATGCCCTACTATCATTAATGAAGCAGATATAAACTTAAAGAATTGATTTTTGTTACATGATATTATTCAGTCATTTGTGAACATAATATCTGAATTACATATTTTGTTTGAAAAATGAATTTCAAACTAGAAAGTTTGAATGGTTGGAAGAAATTGACAGACATTACAGCCTAAATAATTAATTATTATGTTATTTTTTATGTTTAAATTGATACTTCATCCAAATTTGGTTTATATTTATGGACTCATGTTGACTTGACAACACAAACTATATAACATTTCAGGTTTTGCACCATATTACCACTAAAGGTACTCCACCACCTAAAGTATGGTGGGTACCACCTACTGGACTGCATTCATGTTTACGAACCGCACTTAGGTACCTCAATATCCCAATTGTAAGTATTTTGCACCATAGTTGTGAATCATTTATAAATAATAATTGTTATTGTTAAACATTGAATGAATTATTGATTGAATATTTTTAATAGATGGTGTCTTCTGATGATCACTGTCAGGAAGTTGTTGGTTTATGTCGTGAAAAATCATATGCTGGCCTCGTTGGATGCTCTGGAGAGTATTTAGTATTTCAACCACCTAGATACTTTAGTTCATCTTTGTTGAAACTAACATATAGAGTAAGATATATTTATAATATTTCAAATAATAATAAGTGTTTTCAATTAGTTATATCTTTTTAAATTATATTAAGAGGTAATGGTGTTATTTATTTCGTAGCTTGTTAACTATTTATTTAATATTTAACATTACAGTCTTCACTAGAAACTAAAGAATATATGGTCCATGATTTGCCACAAGTACTTAATGTACCTCAAGATCGTCTTTGCCTCATGGCTGCATTACTTGGAGGAGTCATTCTTTCAGAACAAAGCTTGACAGATTTCTATAAACGCCTTGGATTAGTGCCCAAAAAGGTAGGTAGTAAACAGTGGTTATGGTACTTTAATAAAGTAATTACTAAATTGTGATCTATTATTTTAGCAAGTTCCTCCAGAGATACAAATAAAAACAATTTGTCAGTATGTAAGTGAATTACCAACTTCTGATGTTGATGCAGTCTGCATAGATATATTTGGTGATCTGAATGACCTACGCGCTGCAAAACTTAAACAAGCCGTACAGTATTATCTAAACGGTACAAAGGATGGTTTCTTAAAATATAAAACAGCTACAGGTAAATTTTATTTTAGAATGTTGTATTGTTGTAATTATTTATTAACTAATAATGGGCCAAACAATTTCAGGTCGTCGTTCAAAAAATAAAAAGAATCTCCAAAGACAAGAATTCAACATGCAGCCTGTTACTCTGGATCTAGATACATCAAAATTAGCGACTGAATCGTCAGAACATGAGGTTTCTATTCACTTTTGTAAGAAAATAGAAACAGTCATCCACGCCTTTTAATACACAATAATTGGCAATTGAACAGGTTCCTTGTGTGATTTTAGTCCCTAAATTATTGTCCAGTGCCAAGTGATTTTAATTCTGAAATTATGTTTTTTTTTTGTTGGATTTATGTTATTCAAACATTACCTTTATTATTTTTTTTTTTTTTTTTTTTGTATCTATGTATATTTTCACTGAGCACGACAAAATTCAAAACTTACAGCAAAAAGGCTTGGAAGATTACAAATTGGCTACAGCAAATGCATCAATGAGTGCTGACTTTAGTATGGAGAAACAAACTAATGACTTACATCATGGATTCGCATCTTTATCACTTGAAGCTGGTGTTATGTCATCTACTAAGCAACAAAAACAGAATATTATCAAAAAAAAGGCTGAAAAACCACAATCTGCAATTAAAGAGGTCTGATTACTTGATTCATACAATAATTCTGCTTCTGAGTGTTGCGTTAATGGTTTTATCAAATTCGTCTAGATATATGTGATAGAATGGTGTATGTGTACATTGTCACTTTTCTAACAGGGGCGACAAGCTACAAAACAAGTCCAAAGTGATGACAACTGCCCTCCAGCACCGGCAGAAGTATTGCGGACCTGTGCGGAACGTCACACCAGGGGCCTCATGCATCCTCAACTTCTATCTATCCTTACACATCGTCAAGTGACTTTACCTGTGCTTATGGAGGATGAGAATCATAGAGAAATTCCTTCAATTCATCATTTCTTTAGACCAATTCGACAGAATGTGTATGCTATTCTGTACAATATGCATCATCATCGCTTTATGGCCCACAAAATTAAAGGTACATAGAAATCAATGCAATTCCACATAAAAAGTACTACTAGTAAATTGCAATAATCTTTGTTATGTACATTGCTCCATATTAAAATTGATTTATGCAAGTGATGTATATAACTGCTTTTACATTGATGTTCATGGCATTGAGCTATTGTTTCCATATAAGCTTTTTAAAGATACAACAAAGTTTTAATATAATTCAATTTGCACAGTCAGTATGAGAATCAAAGTTCAATTATTAATATAGATGTTTTCTGTTATGGTATAGATTATGAAAATATAAATTTGAAATTCAAGTGAGAATGTTTAAAGTCATTGGTCATATTTAATAGAATCAAAAAAAATTATGGTAAATAATGGTTTGAACTGTTAAATTTCAGATGATAGATCGAGTGGCTCTAATGATCGTCCATGCACAGTTTTGATAGCAGAATGGATATACACTCGCACAAATCCTGGCAAGAATCCAGAGATTGTTCCAGGTGTTTTACTGGATTGGCCTGTGCCAACTGTACAGAGGCTCTGGTTTGGGTGAGCTTGTGTTCAAAGTATTTTTTAAATTTACTATAGCTAAATATAATCTGTCCATGTCAATGATTGTAATTACAAATATTTTTTTAAATATTTATTTTAGAACTGCTCCGGATGATAAATGCCGTAGAATGAGAGCATATCTTTCCTGTATGCGCTCAGATACTCCTCTGATGTTGAATACTACTTATGTGCCCCAGCACTTGCTCATACTGGCAACTGTATTGAGGTAAATTTTTATAAATTTTTTTTGAAGTTAAGCAGATTCAACTCTTCATTGTATGATATTATTTGTTTTCATATTTAATGTTTATTATATGTCTATATTTTAGATTTATAATGACATCTCCAATTCAAATACTACGAAGGCAAGAGCTGGATGCATTTTTAGCTACTGCATTTTCGACAGATCTTATGAATGCACTACATTTGCAAGAAATGAATGTAAGTAATTAGATAAACTACATACTGTTTGTTGTACTCTCTACTGCTGTCTAAACAATAGTAAAATCTTAAGAGTAAAAGAGTAGATATTACTCACATAGCAAAATTATTACTTTGTAACCCCTTGTTCTGAGGATACTTATTGCATAAACTCATATGATGATACTTTCCTGACGTCTTAAAATTATATATTTCGAAAATAAAAGATTTTTCAAAATGAAATAAAAATAATGTATATCATGTGATTATTTTTAAATCATTTGATAAATACATGAAGGGACAAAACGGTGGGTTTCACCCCTCCACCCTATTAGACAATAGCTTGACTGCCCCTAGCATTGCACGCACCTCGTCGATTTGCTGTAAAAGTCAATAAAAAATAAATAAAAAATTGAAAAAAACTCAAATGATATGAAATTACAAAGATAAAAAAATCGTAAAAGTGTTAAAAAATAAATGTTCCAAGAAAAAGACAAGGACACAATATGTATTAAATGTCTATTTTCAATTTTCTACAGCTTAACATAAACACACAATATGACTTTTTCCTTTCAAAATAGGGAGCAAATATGTTAGATGAATTAAAATATCGCACTTACTTAAATATTTCAACTATATATATGTATATGCAGATATTGATATACAGTAATCATAAACAGTCACAGTGCTCTATTACTAGTTATAATACTTAACATTTTATCATAGTACACCTTATAGCCATTGTAATCTATTTTAGCAAGTTTTAGGTCATATATTTTATAATATTTTTTGCAAAAATTGCTAACTTACAGATTTTTATCTATTTGACTATTGAACATTAACACCTGGTGAATCGTGAATTTGTCTTTGAAAAATTAAGTTCTAGACAGCATGACTACTGGTATTTTCGTCATGCAACAGCAATAATTCAATGGTGTCTAAGGCTCAGATAAACGCAATAGACCAGTTCGGGCTGCTCTGCTCATCTCAGACCAGCAGACAAATGTTTAAATTGCTTTATTATTTACACAGATCAATGCTATCAGTTCCCGGGGCGTACAATTGGGCGCGCTGGTGATGGCGGGCGTGGAGGCGGCGCTCGTGGCTAATGACGCTTGCGGTGCTCCTGTACCATGGCTCGTAGCTTCGCCTTGGCTCTACTTCGATGGCAAGTTGCTGCAGCGAAACCTCCATCGCGCAGCACACTGCAAACATCTTCCTCAGCTTTGCGATAACAACCTCGACATCGTCGTCAAGGTAATACGATAATATCGACTTTATCTTAACTTCTACAAGTTTTTTTTTGTTATTTTTAAGTTATTGTGAGTAGCTTTGTAGTTAATTATAGAATGTATTTTTTGTTACTGCTGACTCCTGCCCTTCAAGTTCCTTTTTATATCCCGAGACTTTTGCAGTTCTATTAATCAAATTACTGGTGGTAGGACCTCTTGTGTTTCCGCACGGGTAGGTACCACCGCCCCGCCTATTTCTGCCGTGGAGTAATGCCTTTCGGTTTGAAGGGTGGGGCAGCCGTTGTGACTATACTGAGACCTTAGAACGTATATCTCAAGGTGTGTGGCGCATTTACGTTGTAGATGTCTATGGGCCCCAGTAACCAGTTAACACTAGGTGGGCTGTGAGCTCGTTCACACATCTAAGCAATAAAAAAGAAATAAATAATAATAATCCATAGTATTCAGTACTGCCGAAAAATTTTAGAACTCAGATCATCATAGAAATATTTAACTCCAGGTTGAGCGCATGCGGAAGGCGATCCTAGAAGGTCTGGAGGTGGAGTTCGCGATGGCGCCGCTGCCGCTCGTGGCGGGCGTGCTAGGGAGCGACGGGGGCACGTGGGGCGCGAGGGGGCGGGGCCGCGGCGGCCGGCTCGAGATCGCGGGCGTTGTCGTCGGACAGTGGGGCGGCGGCAGCTATCCCGCACGCGCACCGCCCAGATACCAACAGATGAGCGCGCACACTGTAATTCAACTTTACTTTTCACTAGCTTATGAATGTATGTTAAGAATTAATTTAATGTATTTTTTCTTCCTACTTAAGCTGATGATAGTCTTGAGAGGCTATGTCAGAGTAACTTAACAAGTAGGTGAGCCCACGAGGCCTTAACCTGACGACGTTGCTAACGCTAACCCTAGCAAAATTTAATGTTAATTATTTTATTTATTTTATTAGAGTACAAGGTAGCTAAATATTGAATTAAAATTGGCTGTATAAAACTACTGGGTGTACAAACTTTTGCACATAAACTGCTTAGACACAAGCACCACCATCGTCCACAGGATACCAACTTTGAGCACTAGTGAATGCATTTCTGGTATCGCATTTACTTTAAAATGGGGCTCCGCTAATCCGGCGCTGGGTCGGTATCGTTGTATGTTATTTTTATGTGAAAAGACAAACTCGTACACGACAATGGTGCATGTCATCGGAAAATCCACAGTATCGTAAATTATTTATAAAAAACTGATTATTTGGCCAACTCCTTAATGAAAATTATGGAGGTTTAATTTTCTTGCATTGGTACAACAAACTTGGTCTTGATGCAAGGTGGGCTACGTTGGATACACGCCTCCGACTCGGAACTCGTACGGAGGTCGCGGGTGGCGCGGAGCACGCGGAGGTCGCGGCCGGGGACACGCGCGCCCCTCGCGCCGCCCCCGCCGGGACCCGAACGAGCCCGCCAAACCAGCCACTATTGCCGTGAATGGGTAACTTAACCGTACCGTAGATTGGGGCGAATCGGGACCCTTTCAAAATCGAAAACAAATTTTCAATGGTTTTTCTTAGGGTAATACCAATAAAATTGAGATTAAAATGGTTCCGGGAGGCTTAAATTCCTATATACGATACATAGTTTATTACAAAATATACACAAAAATTGAAAAAACTAGCTTGACCCGAGTCACCTTGGCTTTGGGGTGAAACAGGTTACGTATGGAAACAATAGAGTTTTTCAATAGGGCTGGCTAAATTAAACTATTTAATATTCCTAAGCACTCAATAAAAGTCATTTTCAGTTCAACATACTTAAATCTAACAACACAAAAAAAGTATTGTGACATCTCCGATTTGTTCCTATTCTAACTCTAGTCTCTATTCCCCCCAATCTACTGTATATTATTATTTCTGTACATCCATATTATTATCATATACCGGGTTACCAGTATTATATAATGTTTGTGGTGTAATTTATAAAAGTAGTGAACGTATTTGATAAAAATAATGTGTCTCGACTTGAAACTTTGCATTCTATCAGTTGTACAATTTAAGCTCATACTATCGTCTCCATCATGTAGAAGTAATATTCAACTTATTTATAGCATAGATTAATCCTTAGGAAAACTGTTCGCCCGGACGAAGTTCACCACCAGTCAGGTGAATCAAGTCCTCAAGATGAAAATACTGCTCAAGAAGGTGAAGCAGAAGGTACGGACAGAATTTACTTTCCATAATATTATATGCTCTTTATTGCATATAAAATATTTTTTTACCGAAAAATAAGAAACTGGTTTTAAGAACTATATTTTATTGGAATTTAGACAAGATAAAACAATTAAGGAATAGCACTGAGGGAGCGAAATGTACCTTAATATAATTTATTTATTCATATAAAGGTTGAAAAACCCCCAGTAAAAATGTGTTGCCTCAAACATATTCTTTGAAAAAAAAATGTTAAAAAAAAATTAAGGGTTTATTTAGCCCCGCTACTCACCAGCCAGGTCTATAGTTCCGAGTTGGGGTGTATCAGGAGAGGTATGGACCAAGTTTTCAGCTTGCCTCAAATACCTACTCAAAAATTGGTGCCAGCTCTCGGACTATTATGTTTGAATTGCGTATATTATTATCAGTGGCGGATTGAAACTTGATGCCGCCCTAGGCCCTGCTTATCGCGCCACCCATAATAAATTTTTGTGTCAATATTTTTACTTTAAATTTAAAATAACTTTATTTCTTAGTATATACTTTTTTATTATAACTATGTAATAAATATTACAATATATAAAAAAAAATTATATCAATATATCTTTTCAAATATTAATCACTATAATTCTTTTAAAAAAAAAAACTGTACTCATTTTCAAAGGACTGTACTTTCTTTCCTCTGAAACTTTGGTATTTCAAAAATTTCGCCGCTCCGTCAAGTCATGCTGAAGCCCGGGCCTAGGCGTAAATCCATCACTGATTATTGTACAGCTATTGGCATGACTGTAACTTCGTCTGAATTTATCATAAAAATTAAATAATGAAGTGAATATATTACAATATGTTATAAACATTTGTTTTCATTTTAAGGAACACCCACTCCTAAACCTAAAACTGGCAAGAATCTGAAGAAAAATGCAGGAAAGGGGAAAAAAAGGATCAATAAACCGGAAGGCTTGCAAGGAGCATCAGAGGCTAATGGACCACTTGATAAAAATAAGGTGAGACGTATAAAAATTAATTCAGTCAATATTTTATTACACACTTGTCTTCCACAAGTAACACTGATTATACTGTACTTGTAACTATACTGAGATCTTAGAACTTACATCTCAAGGTGGGTGGCGCATTTACGTTGTAAATGTCTATGGGCTCCAGTAACCACTTAACACCAGGTGGGTTGTGAGCTCGTCCATCCATGTAAGTAATAAAAAAAAAACTGTTACCTGCTTTTTTTTAACTTTCTAATTCAAGAACCTTAGTATTTTCTTCGGTTTTCGGGAGTTGTTGACTTAGAACTTTTTTGCTTCTGAAGTACCTACTGGTGTTTGAGTGATAAAACTAAAAAGCAGATTGGCACTTCATTTTATACTTAGTAGTACTAATGTGTATTTACAAATTTACACTAGCCATTATCCATTCCCGAATAAGCGCAAAATTCCTATTTTGACATGAACCTAACAAATAATGTTAATTCAAATGCTAAGGTAAGTTTTAAGTAAGTAAGGCTTTGCCCTTTTCAAAAGAGCATTAAGGAAATTACATAACAGTATATTGTAAATTAAATTTACCTCCTGGTACTTCAGATGTCCACGGGTGGCGGTAACCACTTGACTTCAGTTGAGCCACCAGCTCATATATTTTCGAAAACAATAAGAATGCGTAATGTTTGTTTTTGGTTCCCTTTCACCAAATATAAAACTGATTTTATAATGTTTCTTTTTAGGTGGCAGAGCAAGGCCACAGTTCCGACAAGGAACACATAGGGCAAGGTGATGCACCAGTCTCAAATTAAATGTCATGTCTGAAGGTAACTTTTAAAAATATTTGTTAGCAATCTTATTCAGTTTCATTTTATTTTACTTCGATTTGATGGCTTATTTTTAGTATTAGTTCCTTAATTTTGGACAGCAATGAGGAAAGCTGTCTTTTTTTTTTCATAATCTACAAACAAAACATAAAGTTGTTTTAAATTTATTTGGTATTCTTGTTTGTTGAAATTATTAATCTTATATTTTGTTGCTTTTTATTTAAAATATTCTTTTTTTTTTACTTATTACTCAAAACAAATCGTGAATTTATCATTGGAAAACGAATGACAATGAAAATTATATTGACACGAAATGGAGTCATTATTATCTTTGAATCATGCGAAAATGTATACAGGATTCAATGTTTTATGCATAATAAAATTTCGATAATTGATTTGTATAAAGCGCAATAACTATGTTCGTTTAGTTGTTGCTTGGTCTCATCAATAATGAATGATGCTATATTATTAAGTATTAATTACGTGCCTGAACATCTTAAAGACTTCCCTAATGTGAGACTGATTTTGTATTACTTTTAATTGACAAAATTTTGTTCAATTAACGATAATATTAAAGCCAAGACCAGACTTCTAGCGAGACGATATGCCTCGACGAATCCCCTACTATGACGAAATCTCTGGCTAACANTCTCATCAATAATGAATGATGCTATATTATTAAGTATTAATTACGTGCCTGAACATCTTAAAGACTTCCCTAATGTGAGACTGATTTTGTATTACTTTTAATTGACAAAATTTTGTTCAATTAACGATAATATTAAAGCCAAGACCAGACTTCTAGCGAGACGATATGCCTCGACGAATCCCCTACTATGACGAAATCTCTGGCTAACAATACATTTGTATTAACAAGCAAATAACTACGTTTTAATGGTTTGAGATCAACAACCAGAGTTAATCTTGCATTTTATTGACAAAAAAATGACATTTGTGACACTGATATTATTTAGTACATAGAGTTATGTATTGATAAACTGACCTGTTGATTGTTAATTCTCATGAAAACTGAGATGACTTAGTATTTACCATAATATTGTTTATTTAAATCTGGATGACAACAGAGTCGTTATTATTTATTTACACATAGTATATTTACAATTTACCAAATTATTTTATTTATAAGAGTAAGGTTTGGTCTATGAAATCCACATAAATTAATTAATTTTTAAAATAGTACATGCTTTCTGTATGAGTTGATAGGGTATGATTTGAACTAAAGACATGTGACATCATTGAACGGGTTGCATATACTAAACCTTCATTTTCAGACTTGTTTTTGGAATTTCGTGAAAGGCATTTTTTACGCCTTTCAGGTGTTTAAAATTTTACGAATTTGAATACCGTCAAATCAGTCTGATACAATCGATATATAAATTGAGTAAATAAAAAATATACACGCGTTCTTCCAACAGCTTACGCGATCGAGTGTGCCTGTGTGATACCAGTTAGTGATATGGATGTTGTTTGGATTGTTGTTAAAGGTTGGGAAGACGATGTTAGGACGAAAGATACGGTTACTGTTAGTTTCGCATTTCTAAAAGATTTTTGGTGCTTCGATATCTTTAGGTACTGCCTGAAACGAGTCTGAAACTCATAGATTTAAGTCTAACGATACATGTTTAAATAATTGTGAGCATTCGCATTATGTGTTCCCGTGTCCTATAGGGTATTATTTCGATAGGAAATCTTAGATTTGTTAGTGATATATTTATATGCATTTTTTGGGAATATTAATAGTGCGAATGCTCATTCATTTATATGTATTTTTGTAAAATTGTTATATTGTTATACTTAAATTTAGCTGGAATGACTTACACAAATAGAGACGAGTCTAACTACTCGATTGACAAAACATCTGTCACAATTTATTAACATAGTTTACATTCCATATCCAATAAACGAATCTACGAAGATAATTGGACAGTGTACGTCAAACGAGAATGGAACTAAATGAAGACTATACAATTTTGAAAGCTTTGTACCCTGGCCGAAACGTGAAAATATGTTGCTAATATACACATATAAAATTTGATTTTAATCAAACGATGATTACAACTTTGAGTGCGAACGCACATTTGTGAAAAGCAGCCGCGACGCTGTTCCAAGCGACCAATATTGCAATTATTAAAGTAAATGCATGTGACTTTGTGAGCCACAATAAGTGGCGAGAAGCGACGGTCACGTATAAGTGCGCCGCTCGTCTTCTGATCGAGAGTGTAATTAAACACTATAGCTAAGTAATGGCGAGCCGTCGCCTTATGCGACGAGCCCAGTATACTATACAATATAAACCTATATTATTGCTTTCTTAAATAAAACACGATAATAGTCTTTAGAATTTTAACTCTTTTTATTTTATTTTATTTGTTTAAGAATTGTGTAAGATGGGCATACATTATTATGAAGTGACCTCACGATTAGGCCGTTTACTCTTATTATATTAAAGTTTCATATCAACGTATGGATTAAAAGAGAGCCTGAATTAGTGAGTAACTTAATGCCTATAACTTTCTTTGACAATATTGCATGCTGTTCACATTTACCTATTGCATATTTTATTCTCGAAACAATTCGAAGGTGTAGTTTTTTTTGTCTATTAATGTTCGCTATAGTTTTAGATTACCCAACAATATAAGATAATTCAAAAAGTAACAATAACCACATTTTAAACTTTTTTGCTGACAATGGTCCTTTTTAATATTACTATAAAAATAATGTAATCAAACACAATTTAGAATACTTCTCATGTAATGCATACATATTTTTCGTAATGATGTAGCAAACATGGAACTGTGGCTTTTTGAAAACACTTATAACTTATAATATGGTAACTTATGTGTAAATCTTGCTATGTTGATAAAATTCAAGTGTTCATAACTGTAATTTGCATGAACAAAAAAGTATTTGATGGATTTAAATTGTAAAGAGTTGTATTTGTCTTCAAATAAAACGTTCCATTATTAAATCTGTGTTTTATTTATTTGCCAAATTTAGGCGGTCGTGTATTTCTTTTACAGTGGTACCTTCCATATTAGCTACATGATTGATAACTATTTGTGCAGCGTCCTTAATGTCATTGTATTGATGCAGTAGCTGAACTTGAAGATGTTTTTCTTGTAAAAGTCTGTCAATCCGCATTTCAATTTCAATTAGTTTATTGTAAATTTCTCGATTACTCTTCGACATCTGGAAGTTATTAGCAGGTCAGATTAAATATTCGTGATTTAAACTTATTAATTTAAAATGATTCTAATGCTTTATCTTCTACGACCATCGTTAGGGTAACATTTATTTAATTAAATCTAAGCGTCAAGACAAGACTAGACAGTCCACAATCTCCCTTCGCCGCGCACTCGAGTACTTCGGTCATATTGCTCGGAAAACACCGGATAGCTTAGAAAGACTATTCGTGACAGGGAAGATCGAGAGAAAGAGACCGCGCGGGCGCAGTCCGACGAGGTGGTTCGACCAAATCCGCACCACACTGGAGATCCCATTCCACGACGCCCTTCATGCGGCCAATGATCGGAGGCGCTGGCGGGACATTACAAGGAGCAAAATCCTGTCGACATATAATGTTCACGACCCTCAGCAGTGAGGAAACGACGCGAGGAGGAGAAGCGTCGGGAAAAAGATTAAAAGCTATATATATGAGATTTCATTTCAATTGAACATGATGTGATTGAAATCGACCTCTGTTTGAGAGTATATTATTGTACCAATCTGTTTGTGTCGAATTTACCAGAAGTGCTCAGAATAGCAGTCATAATGAAAAAATTGACCCTTTAAAGAACATAAATAAATTTTGAGCATTTGACCAGTTGACGATATCTTTCATTCCAACCCGGCAGGCTGGTTCTGGTCTAGCGGAGTATTCCCAAACAACAGCGTCACCGCCTGGGCGCCTAACGACGTCTCCGAGTCTAGGCTGTGGCGTAAGCTGCGAGCCTAGTTGCAATGTTGACGGCGGTAAGACCCGAGCTATTAATCGAAGATCAGATACTTAGAAAAGATGGCCAGAGAGTCGTTTATTGTGTAACATTAAACATCTTCGTAGTCCCAGTCAACGCGCGCCCCCACGGTAATGTAAACTTTTAGAAGGTTTCACACCCGGCCCAAAAAAATCTAAGTTTATCATCGTACCTTTTCAGTGGATCGCGATTTTGGTCCGATGATAGATTCAGCGAAGAACTGTACTTGCTAGGGCAAATGTTAGTAATTTTTGTCAGGCAGAGCCCGGAGCAGCTACAATAGGCCCTCGGGGCTATCAGCTTTTAGGTAGAGAAAGCAAAGATAATACTAAAACGAACAGTTTAAACAAAAGTTATGTATATAGATAGTGGTAGTTTCATGCCTAAAATATTTCAGTCATCGTTACAGTCGAAGCCATTGCTTGCGACGAAGGGCTAGGCGAGTAAATTAACAACCCACAGACAGCCTATAGTCCGGTCAATTTAGACATTCGAAGGTACATAAAGTCCCAAGAAGCTGAAAATCAGTAAAATTGTTCAAAACATAATTACAAATAATATTTAAAAGTTCCCCATCATTCCCGTGTATGGAATTATTTTTATTCAAGGTCAACGATCAAAACAATGAGTTTTTTAATAAAAATGAGTTGTATGAAATTAATAAAAATGAGATAGAAATATGTCAGAAATGTGGTTCGTAGGAAAAAAAGTACTGATACATTTTTTATAGATAATTTTATGATCTACAATTTTTGTCTCAAGTACCTACTTTTATGATAAAACTTACCTTTTGCTGAAAATCGCGGAAAACTCATTTTTTTGACTTTTGACCTTGTAGTTTTTTTTTCATACATGGGAATGATGGGGATCTCTTAGAGCACACCTACTTGTTAGGGTTACGCTGGTCTCTCAAGATCATCAGCTTAGGTTGGAAAAAATATAACTAAAATATTTAAACATACAATATAATTATACTTATTCATATTTTTAATGTGACCACATTTATCAATTGTCCGAAAGAGCAGATTTTTTTGTTGTTTATGAAATTAAATCATTCATTCCTATTAACTACCAAATGCATTTTTCTTTATTGTTAGTTCATTGGTTCTCCGGAAGATGAATAGGAAAGATTATAGCAATAATGCCTTTGTCTTGACAACATAATCGCTTTGGCTCTGTATCTTCATAACTGTTGAAACATCAGACAGCTACTTTTAGGCGGTAACACGACTGATAAGGTTGTTTATAACGATTAAATTCATTCTACCTGGTGTTTTTCAGATTTTCGTAATTGTCCCTTTAGTATATCTGGTAGCCAAGAGACTGCCGGTGTTCATATCCTGTACGTAGATACCAATTTGTCTAAGGAAGCATTACGTATTCATGAACGACTTTTACTTTAGTAAAGAAATAGTCATGTACTAAAAAATAAGCCCGTAATATTTATAAATTTTGTTAACTACTAGCGATACGGCATAATTGTTATGCAGCACAGGTAGAACCACAATTGAAAGCTATGCGTCATGATAATCGCCTTATCGTGGCCGCCGCTGACTACTCACCGAATCCTGATCATGCAGGAGCCAGTCACCGTCGACGCCCTAGACACGTCCTTACGGATCCATCAGATCCAATAACCTTTGCATTAGATGCCTTCAGCTCTAATACTAGGAGCAGGCTTAGGGACCCCAGTAACCGTACTCGTCGAACTCGACAAAGAGGTTTTTTTTTTTATATCCTACCTAAGCTGATAGCCTTGAGAGGCTATGTCAGCGTAACCCTAACTTTAGTAGGTGAGCTCACGGGGCTCAAACCTGACGATGTTGCTAACACGAACCCTAGCAAGAGCCGTGCTTCGCAGAATCTACCACCGGATCGGAAACGCGACCCACTGAGAAGATCCGGCGAGAAACTCAGTGGGCTGTGTCTGAGAGTTAATTTACTCGTCGAGCCCTTCGTCGCAAGCGACGGGTTCGACGAGAACGGTGACCGGTGCTTGAAGTACCTAAAAGCACCGTTAGTGGATCAGGAGGATCCGAGATGACGTGTTTAGGGCGACGTCGACTGCTTTCCATTCTGTCCGCAGGATCGGGAATGTAGTTACCGGCGGCCACGATGAGAGGGTTCTCGTGTCGTGCCGCTTTATCGAAGTGGCGCATGGACGCCGACTGAAGATACTTACTGATGGACTCTAAGTCCAGGTCGTCATGGAGGTCGACGTTCCTGACGAACCACGGGGCTCCGACGGCTATCCTGCAAAAACGGGATTGAATGACTTGGAATGATTTTAAGTGTATGCGGGCCGCGTGAGCGAACACTACACTTGCATAGGTCATGACGGGGCGTATGCAAGTTTTGTAGAGTGTCACCTTATTTCTAAGGGACATTTTACTTCGCCTACATATCATCGGGTAGAGACGTCCTAGAATGAAGGCGGCACGGTCGCGTACCGTCTTGATGTGGGGGCGGAATGTCATCCTACTGTCGAGGGTGACGCCTAAATATTTGACCTTCGGGGCCCACGGTATGGGCTGGTCGAACATCGTGATTGGGCGAACGGCGGGGGCGGGGGTGTTGACGCGCCTAGTCGGGAGAGGGATGCTCAGCGTGGTGTTCGGAGGGCGACCCCTTTTGAAGAGCACCGCTGTGCTTTTCGTGGGGTTAATGTCGATGCGCCACTTCCGGAACCACTGTCCCATGGTGGTAGCTGCGGTCTGAAGTCGTCGATGAAGCAACGCCTTCTTCCTACACGAGTAGTAGATGGCGGTGTCATCGGCGAAGAGCGCCAGATGGGTCTCCGGAGACCGGGGTATATCGTTGATATACAAACTGAATAGTAACGGGGAGAGGGCGGAGCCTTGCGGGACTCCGGCTGTGACGTGACGGGGCCGGGAGCGCGTTCCCTCGACTCGATATCGGAACGAACGGTTCGACAAGTAGTCTCGTATGATGAGCACGAGTCTGTCTGGCACTCCCATGTTATACAGTTTGTATATCAAACCGTTGTGCCAGACTTTGTCGAACGCCTTCGCTGTATCGAAGAAGAGGGCTCCTGTCGGAATGGATTGCGTGGACAGAGATTTTCATCACCTGAAGAAGCTGTGGACGCCTACAAAACGGCCATTTTGGAGACCCCAACTTCCGAATGGAATCGTTGCTTCAATGATTGGTTCCATCGTATGGAAAAATGTGTCAAATTTCGCGGAGAATACTTCGAAAAGCAATAAATACATTTTTAAATAGTAATGTTGTGTCACTTCGTTAATTCCCGAAATTTTCAGTGCCGCCTATGTATCATAGTGCCTATCTGGCGGAGAAAAACGTCTTTACCATGCAATCCATGCATACTCAATTCCTAAGACCAGTATTAATACGTTTACTTCCTGGTGGTACCAGGTGCCAGGGCATTTTGTGGGCCCTTACTAATAGGTACCACCACACCACCCTGCATATTTCTGAAGTATAGCAGTAACATTTCGGTTTAAAGGACACATTCTCACGGATCGTTTGGAGCCTCTGGGTATGCGGAGGGACTTCGGTTCCCTCTGTATTTTGTACCGCATGTTCCATGGGGAATGCTCTGAGCAATTGTTCGAGATGATACCAACGTCTCGTTTTTACCATCGCACCGCCCGCCACCGGAGTAGAGTTCATCCATACTACCTGGAGCCACTGCGGTCATCCACAGTGCGTTTCCAGAAATCTTTTTTGCCACATACCATCCGGCTATGGAATGAGCTCCCCTCCACGGTGTTTCCCGAGCGCTATGACATGTCCTTCTTCAAACGAGGCTTGTGGAGAGTATTAAGCGGTAGGCAGCGGCTTGGCTCTGCCCTTGGCATTGCTGAAGTCCATGGGCGACGGTAACCACTCACCATCAGGTGGGCCGTATGCTCGTCTGCCTACAAAGGCAATACCTAAGGATAGAACAGGTACTACAAAAACCGAGACTTAGAACTTATGTATTTGTTTCGATTAATGTATATTCTAATAGAACACTGTCAAGCTCAAAAAAATGTGTTAAGGGCAAAACTAGATGATGACAGATATTCAGTAAAACAAATTTTAATGTGTTTCTACAATATTTATTCAAGATCCACAGTAAAATTAGCTGGCTCTCCAACACCCATTGCACATGCTAACATACTATTAATGTGCCTACCTTCTTCTGTTTTAAAAACATAACCATTTGCTTTGTCAACAAGATTCTTCACACTGGCTAAACTTTTTTCGTTCATCATATTTACAAGTTGAAATGTTACTAGACTGTAATCTTCAATTATAGATATAAAGGCACTGTTGAGTTTTTTGTATTTATTAGTAAAATTATCACAATTTAAACAGTCTAATAGATAGTTTAGGTCTAAAACTTCTGTATAAAAATCTAAACTAAAATTTAACTTTTCATAATGTTTTTTTAATAAATCTGATTTAGTTAAGAGATTAATATGAGGCAATCCAATATTTAACATTGCACTTAAAGATAACATAAGAGCTGCTATAAATTTACCAGCATCAGAGCAGTGATGGGAATCAATTAAATGCACTACACACAACAGCATATTACTGACATTTGTTAATTTTGAAACAATGTTGGATAAACTTTTATGATGACAATAAAGTTCTACTTGACCTGGTAAGTCAAACAGAAAAGTAGTTCCATTATCCCCATGTAGTTGATTTAAGAGCCAGTCAATGTTACTTTCCAGGTATTCCATGCAGTATAATAATGCACCATTTGGTCCAAGGTCAATCTGTTCCATTACTTCTTCCAAAACAATTAACTCCCTTATGTCAATGTCAGGTTTGTAATTCATTGTATCATTTGCTGGATCCAGGTTAACAATTATCACTTGCCTACCTAATGTTTTTAGCATGTCAGACATTTTCATACAATATGTGGTTTTCCCAGCTCCAGGAGGACCAAGGACTAATTGACCATAGAAGGTTTGTGTTGGTTTGAATCTTTTATTTGTCATTGCTGACATTCTGTATCTTCTTTTTTGAAGTCCAAAATGATATCTCTACAAGCTTTCAGTGTTTCAATGTCATATGACCTTAAGTTGATGAAAATGCAAAGTGGTTTTGATAATATATCCACTGTTTCAGCTAAGAATCTTGCTGCTGCTTGATGCTCTTCCCCTGAATCACCAAAAACAACTTTTGTTGAATACACATCTTCAATGCCATGAGGACCGTTGATTCGATCTCTGACAACCATTAGCATACTTCCCATTTTTTGATACTGAGATACAACTAAAAACACTTTATCACTACATTCTGCTATCACTATATCAGTAGTGACATCATCTATTTCAGCACTCACTGATTTAAATAAATTATTTGGGGCTTCAGAATTTTGTATTTTCAAATTTTTCATAATATCTGGGAGATCCATCCTGATAGCTTGTTATTCCAGTTTATCTAAAATTAAATCTTTATTGAACAACTATGACACTAATATACATCAAAACTGTTTTTAGACACCTCATATTTTGAAGAAAACATAAATTTTTAATAGTTAAATCATAGTAATTACTTACTATTTGTTTAAAAATATATTTATAGTCTTTTTTTACACATTATGTTATGATCAGAAATAAAGTTTATTTTTAAAATTNTATTCCAGTTTATCTAAAATTAAATCTTTATTGAACAACTATGACACTAATATACATCAAAACTGTTTTTAGACACCTCATATTTTGAAGAAAACATAAATTTTTAATAGTTAAATCATAGTAATTACTTACTATTTGTTTAAAAATATATTTATAGTCTTTTTTTACACATTATGTTATGATCAGAAATAAAGTTTATTTTTAAAATTGAGGTACAATCCAGATTTCTTTGTGAAATATACTCAAAACAATGTTTATAGATTCATATAAGATTTAGTGTTTTTAAATATAACTCAGAGTATCATTCTTTCACAAATCAAACATACCATCAGGTGTTTTAATTACTGCAATGATCTTTCTTTTAATTGCTATGGTGAATTCATACGATAAGTGTTTATTACATTGATGAGATCATTGTACTTTTATTCATGTCATTTAGTAAAATGTCCAGAATAGAGTTCACTAGTTTTAAAAACTGAAACAGGGCTTGCATTCTATTAAAATGATAAGTGATCAAGTTTTTCTTAATCAGTAAGAATTGGTGGAGTTAATACTACCCATTTAATTATTTTGGTGCCAAATACACAAAATTGTATAAAGTTCTTGTAGGTACTGATTGAAAACCATAATTCCGAACGTTATTTAAAAATTGGACTTTATGTGGTTTTAATATTAGATATTATGTTGTGCCAATTTAACTTTTTTCATATCTACAGGTAATCCTTGAAATGAATAAAACTTGTATAATAATCTGCATTCACAGAAACATGTATAAAAGTTAAATGGAGGAATATCTCAAGGCAAAGCCACACACAAGAGTTTCGGAGTGAGACTAATACAGACAAAAGCCAGAAGCTTTGTAGAAGTCAGCTGAAACATGCTGGGCTTCTCATAATGTATTTCGGAAACAAAGATCACCTAATTAAAATATATCGGAATGCCACAACCTGCTTATTCTCCATGGAGGAAGTGGAAACTATACATCTAAAAATCACATAGTTCACATACACCGTGACAATCGTAAGTATAATTTTACTTACCACAATCGTCAAAATTCAGATTAGTTTAGTTCAAAACTGTTAATATGACTATATAATCCAGGAAGTAAAGTTTTTCTAAAAAATTAGGCGTAGTTCGGACTTTCTCAATAACTAATCAGATTGTTATTAATATGAATTAATATGTGTTTAATTTAAGAGATTGAGTACGGTAGTAGTAGTCATAGATTATACACTTAATATAATTGAGTAGTAGTTTTATTTTTCCAAATGGAGAGGCAAAGATAACACACCATACAGCCTAATCTTTTATATATATTTTTTTATGAAATATGATAGGTATTAATTATGAAATAAAATGAAGCGGATTAATGTGAAACATGGCATGGTATGAAATGAAATGAATTGAAATGAGATGAGATGATATGGGATATTTTTATGAAAAATGTTAATATGGAGTGAAGTGAAATGAAGAATTTGAGACATTAATCAACTGGGATGAAATTAAATGAAATGAGATGAGATGATATGGGATGAAATATAATAAAAATATAATAAAATGGTGGTCATTTACTGAGATTTTTTCAGTGGACTTTTTGGAGGATCCCGAGAAGTTACGTCCAGCAGCTTTATTTCATTTTCCCACATTTGTGCACTTTCACAGATATTAAACAGTTAATAAACCACCATTATTACACATTTAAACTTGAAGAAACACTAAATAGACAAAATAAAACAAATCACACAACTTCACTCCTCGCGCTCCCGCCAAAAAGTCTCGAATTTGATTTTTTTAAGGGTTTTTATGACCTGGTAACTAAGACCTTTAAGTCATTTCTGTATTTTAATTTATATTCATATTTTTATGAAAAATGATATTATGGAGTGAAATGAAATGAAGATGATTAATTTGAGACACTAATCAACTGGGATGAAATGAAATGAATTGAGATGGTATGGGATGAGATATAATCTCAGTAAAATGGTGGTTATTTACTAAGATTTTTTCAGTAGACTTTTTGGAGGATCCCGAGAAGTTACGTCCAGCAGCTTTATTTCATTTTCCCACATTTGTGCACTTTCACAGATATTAAAAAGTTAATAAACCACCATTATTACACATTTAAACTTGAAGAAACACTAAATAGACAAAATAAATCACACAACTTCACTCCTCGCGCTCCCGCCAAAAGTCTCGAATTTGATTTTTTAAGGGATTTTATGACCTGGTAACTAAGACCTTTAAGTCATTTCTGTATTTTAATTTATATTCATATTTTTATGAAAAATGATATTATGGAGTGAAATGAAATGAAGATGATTAATTTGAGACACTAATCAACTGGGATGAAATTAAATGAATTGAGATGATATGGGATGAAATATAATCTCAGTAAAATGGTGGTCATTTACTAAGATTTTTTCAGTGGACTTTTTGGAGGATCCCGAGAAGTTACGTCCAGCAGCTTTGTTTCTTTTTCCCACATTTGTGCACTTTCACAGATATTAAACAGTTAATAAACCACCATTATTACACATTTAAGCCTGAAGAAACGCTAAATAGACAAAATAAAACAAATCACACAACTTCACTCCTCGCGTTCCCGCCAAAAAGTTGAAATCTTTGACCACAGATTAGTATAATAGTTATGTCTTTGACTTGAATGAGACTTGTATGTATTGTCTATGTCTTTGTCCTCACAATTGACTTTAAGGAATTGTCCCTATATTTCTAAGTCTACTACGCTATAACTGAAGCTATTTGAGAGAGCACGATAAATACAAACTTTTCCAAATTATTTCGAAGGAAAATCTTTTCTCACTATATCCATAATGACCTTACAAAGACTACGTCTTACTAGCCTTTTGATAATTAGCGCTAATTGTACTTTAACGATTAATTGGCACTGAAGTAAAGATATAGGTCTATGCTATTGCCAGCTGACTGACAAAACCGGCGCATGCGCAATGTAGGCGTGAGGTGATGGTTTGCTACACTATTAGATATAAAATAATTAATAATTGGGAATTTAATTGTTTTTATTATGGAACAATCACCAATAGTCGCCGAAAAAATGGTAATTGTTCAAAATTAATTAATCTGAGTGATCAAGATAAAGATATCTAGTAAGAGGAGGCCAACTTAAGGGTGATGATTTGTTTAATTCTTCTTCTTCTTCTTAGTCGAATACTTCATTGCTGAAGGTCGTGTCCTTGAAAGCCCTTCGTGGCTCTTTGTACCCTCAGCTTCCATTTGCTTCGGTTTTCGGCTTCTCTCAGGGCGTTGGTAACAGAGAGTCCAGTGAGCGCAGTTATCTGATCCGACCAACGGTTTGGTGGCCGGCCGACGGGTCTTTTCCCTTCTACCTTGCCCACTACAATCAATCTTTCAAGGTTGTCTGGTGGCTGTCGAGCAATTAATTACAAATAAATAAAAGACGAACAAACTATTTTTACATTCGAACATTAACAAACAAACGACGAACAAATAATTTAAAATTAAAAAATCCGAAAATCAACAAAAAGGGGCCAAAATCAATGAGCCCGCCACTACATATTGAAATTGAAAATGAAAATGTTATTGTACCTTATTTAATATTTAGTAGACACGAGTTAAATGTGAAAATGTTCAAAATATGTTTAATGTTTGTTTTTTTGTTTAAATACACAAATGACGGTCAAAATAATCAAACATTAATAGAGCATAAATATTAATAATTAATAATAATTTGATTAAGTATTGTAATTTTTATGCAAACTATACTATTGACGCCATCTATTATTAGGCTGGATAATAATAATGTTAGTTTTATTATATAAGTAAAAATAATTTATGTACACTATATGAATGTCAGTCATTTAAAAATTACTGAAATATTTATTATGAATATTAAGCTACTTTTATGAATTGTTTCTTTTTGTTTGTGTAAAAGAAGTTGTAGTTGCTATAACCAACACAAAATGGCTAATTGTGTAAAAACTAAGATGTGGCTTTTTGTAATAAACAAGTAATGTTAACGTTTTATAGAATTGTATTGTATTTTCATTCTAATAGATCATATGTGTGAAAATCCAGGCGTAACGCCTACGTATACTTTTTTTTAATATGCACATAATTAACCATTTATGCTCGAAGAGTACTAGATTAAGTACCAGATTAAGAAATTAAAATATTTTACATATTTTCACATGTGCAAATGGCATCTCTTTTTTCTTGACTGATTTAAGGAAGTTGAGATCGAGGCCCAGCTGGTGTTAACTAGTTACTAGTGCCTATAAATATCAGTAAGATAGAGCATTGTTTATATGTTTAATGTAGTTCCCCCACTACCCAAACACTAGAAACCAGACCATTAAATCATTTAAAAAAAACTGTTTAAAACAATAAATGACAATTCATTTTGGACTTTTTGGGTTGTTAGCGGGAACCCGTTGACCGAAGTTGTGTGAATTGTTTTATTTTGTCTGTTTAGTGTTTCTTCAGATTTAAATGTCTAATAACGGTGGTTTATTAACTATTTAATATCCGTGAAAGTGCATAAATGTGAGAAAATAAAAAAAGCCGCTGGAGGTAGCTTCTCGAGATCCTCCGAAAAGTCTACTGAAAAAAATCTAAGTAAATAACCACCTTTTTACTAAGATCATATTTTATCCTATATCATCTCATCTCAATTCATTTAATTTTATCTCAGTTAATTAATGTCTCAAATTAAACATCTTTCTTTCATTTCACTCCTTAATATTGTTTTCCATAAAAAGAATATTAAAGATTAGGCTGCATGGTATGATATTTTTGCCTTTCTAGTTGGAAAAATAGAACTACTACTACCTACCTATCTACTCTTTTCAGATGTCGTTTTTATTACTTGTCAGAATGTCAAAATCTATTTAATATTGAGCCGATCGAGCATTTGAGCTGGGCGTTGCAAATATAAAGATTTCGAAAAATAATTTATAATGATTGATATAATACAAATCTGTCTTTATGTATGAAATTTACTTCTTCTCACAAAAAGACCTAACTGATAAAATGCTTTAAATAGCAGTACAATTTTAACAGCTTGGCACGAACAGTAACTCGCTCATTTGAACAACATTATATTGAAGAAACAAGTTATGCCGGAACAAAGCAATGATTATCGCGTCGTAGTTTTTGGTGCGGGAGGTGTTGGTAAAAGTTCTCTAGTTCTCCGTTTCGTTAAAGGAACATTTAGAGAGTCTTACATACCAACAATAGAAGACACATATAGACAGGTAAATTAACTACTTGCACAAGACTACTTGCTTTTTTAAATTTTGTAAAATATACTGTTTCTTTAACCCACTACATAAGTGCAAACATCTAAAATGTACTCAATCAATTCCCTGTGTTGCAGTGCAAGGAATGTTAATAAATAAAAAGGCACAATTTTAGCAGTATATTTATTATTGGATATAATTAGATCGTCGCCTTGTTTATTCATTGTATGATTTTGGCCCAAATGAACCTAAAATACAATCACAAGGGTGTATCTAGCAAAACTAATGCGTTGTAAAAATAAAGGGAAAATGTTTGCAGTAGATATATCTCTCAGTAAACTGATAGGCTGAATGTTTACTGAATCTTAAACATGTGAAATAATACACAGGATTTCTGGATATTTTTTATTGTGATTCAGATTTTAGCTGGATTTATTTTATTCAGTGAAAGATACAAAACAGGTAGAGTGGTATCTACTTTTTCCATCTTCCATGATCCAAACTATATTGCATTCATATAATAATTAGATTAAAAGTTCAGGACATACCCTACAAAGTACATAATGTTTCTTAATGTACTACTAATGGTAAATAATTATTATATTATATAAATTAAATGTATATGGCATGCTTTGTTTTTGAAGACCAAATTTTATTGTATGATCTGATTGAATAGTTTCACATGTAGCCACAGGCAACAGATAATATGTTGCTAGTTGGACAATATTGTAAATCACAATCTGGCCACAAAAATCCCCAATTTAATACACAAGCTTAAAAAAAACTGGATACTAAATTTAATTTATTTTTAACCTTTGAAATACTCACTATATCTCACTATCAAATGAAGTCAGCCATTGTACTGAAAATAACTGAACTAAACTAAACAGTCATTATCTTCATTAGTATTATGTACCACAGATGGTGTAAAAACTCAGCTGGAAAGTATTATTAAAAGTAAAGTATAGTTTTGGGAAAATTTGAGATATAAACTAGAATTAGGGCAATGAAATGTTACTTAAATATTTGAATAAATTAACAGTATTCCAAATCCATTACCTAGCTTTTCGGAAGTATGCCAATACAGAAAGTAATGTAATTTATCCCATGTAAGTTTTACTTCTTGAAATGCAAGGATATAAAAAAACACTACCAAAGACGCATGTAACATTTGCACTGCATCAACAATTCAAAGTTATAGAGTATAAACTTTGATAGTTTTTCATTGGGCAAGTCACTATGTGCGAGTCAATTGCACCCGATTGTCTACACATAATGTGTGAAAAAATTTAGGCATATTAGTTGCATAAATGTAAGTGTTTTTATAGTGAATAAAAATAAACCGAAATTCTTTTCAGGTGATAAGCAGTAACAAAACAATATGCACATTACAAATTACTGATACTACTGGTTCACATCAGTTTCCGGCTATGCAAAGACTGTCTATAAGCAAGGTATGTAGAAGTAAATATCAAAAATAATTTCATTTGTAGATTGTTCAAATCCTAATCAGGATATAAGGTATCACACATATTTTATTTAAATTTCGTATTGATCAGAAAGGCATGGATTAATTTATAATTAATAAAATATTCACCATGCTTTTTGTGTGTGGCATGTGTTAAATAGTGTCTTGAAGAGAGGTCTGGAAATGATTGCGCTCTATGCTGGAATAGGCTGCACAAATGAATACTTTTTCAATGTTCTTTTAAGGTGTATCTCTATCTCTATATAATATAAAAAGGTTGATTTGTTCCATTAAAAACTTGGGGGTAGATACAATAGGAAAACAGAGTGGTATTTACATAATTATTATTCCATACCAGTGGTTTAGTTATACCATCTGACACCTATGCTAAATTAATTGGATGGGGTCCTATTCAAAATTGTCACATTATAATTAATTTTAATAAATCACTGAAGCATGTAGTGAACGCACAGTATTAGTAATATTGGATGCATTTTAGTTGAATATCTAATAAAAATAAAATTTAGGTCAGTGTATTTGGTATTGTATTGTTTTATGTTACTTGGCGCTGGCACATCGCCGGGCTGGAGCCCCTGTAACTTATCTGCCCTGCCAATCTGTAGTTAGGCCACTATTCTGTTACTTACGCTTATGCACCACCCAAGATTTGATATACTGTATGCTCTGTTTTTATTTCCGGCCGTTGGGGCCAGAAAGTTCTTGAGTGGCGATCGCGTACCGGAAGACGTGCCATGAAGACCGGAAGCATGGGTAGGTCTCCCACATGATGGACTGACGACCTATTGAGGTTCGCGTTGAGCCATTGGATGCGCGCAGCGCAGGACCGATCTTTGTGGCGACGCTTGAGGGAGGCCTATGTCCAGCAGTGGGCGTCTGTGGACTGATAGAAAAAAAAGCTCTGGTACGCGTAATTGAGGCAATTTATATAGGTATTGTCTGGGTTGGGGTTCTACTACGCGATGTTATTTCTTTGTGGTGGATGTCGTTCGTAATCACTTCAGGTAGATATTTCGAATACCTTATGACACGATGGCATCGAATATGAGCAGACGATGCGGACCGTCGCGTTAACGAATTCAATGCCGAAGTCCTACGTATCTATATATTAGTGATATCTATAGACTTCGGTAACTACTCGATATCATATCACAGCATGACGAAACACCGCTATCCACTTCCTTCTTTTTTGAATTAGCAGTCACATTCATTGACTCATTCGCTCATTGATATGAGCGATACCAAACCGCTGCCCACTATATGTTAGTAACCAATAGCATTCCAGCCATGGTTAGACTCAACAGCTTATTCTTACTATAACATTAAAACATGAACTTGAAGACAATAGAAAACTGCTTTGTTTGGTAACATAATTTCTGGGACTTTGTTATAAGATCCATAAAGTTTTTTGAATGCAAAGTGTGCGAGCTAAATGTGATTTTTTTTTTAATAAATATCTATTTGTTATAGATGATAATCTGTATAGTTGATTTCTGAATATTGTTAAACTTAGTAGACCGCACCATACTTACTGCAAATTTTCAAAATTTCCCTATATGACAACCAATTTTATTATTATGTTCAGTTATATTATTTCAATGTTAACTATATTTTAGTGTGTAATAAACTGTATTATCTCTTCGTTTAATTAATTATGGTGTTCATTTAAGGGCCACGCTTTTATATTGGTTTACTCCGTGAGCAGTCGACAGTCACTAGAAGAATTGAAACCAATATGGCAAACAATCAAAGAAATAAAAGGCGTGGAGCTCCCTAACATCCCTGTGATGTTGGCCGGCAACAAATGTGATGAGAGCCCAGAGATTCGAGAAGTATCAGCTTCTGAAGGACAGGCGCAGGCGCAAGCCTGGGGCGTATCCTTCATGGAGACATCTGCTAAAACGAATCACAATGTAACACAACTCTTTCAAGTTAGTACCATATTTGACATGAAAACAAAATCGTATATCCCAAAATATATGAATTAGATTAGTATTCCAGTTTCCCAATCTCTGATGATATATTTCTATTACTATTACCGGTGATATATTTCTTTTTTAGGTCATTAGCACCGTCATCCACTAATGCATAGAATGTTTTTTTTATGAAACAACGCAATTCTTAACATAGTTGAAGGTTTTTTTTAATATTATTTTAGCTCGAAATGAGACGTCGAGAATGTTACGCGAATATAAAATGAATATTATATGAATATTGGGTACTGATAAGCTTATAAAGGAACCAGTTGCGAGACACATGACGTACCTCGACATTAACTGCGTCCATTACGTCGAGCGGATCTGTAGTGGGCGAACGTAGAAACGAGAGGGCTTCAAAATACTCCCAACCGCTCCCTCCGGCGGCGACAGCTTCCCCGATCGACCTCTTTTTGATCTTCCGCAGTTCATTGTTCAATTGCGTCCGCAAATTATGTATTTTTCTGCTTATCTCTTCCGATGTCGTCCCGAAAATGTCCGCCATGGACTCTAATTTCAACTGACGCGCAGACCGCTCCCTGTTCAATGGATGTTTTGTGTCCCACAACTCCGGACATTATCTTTATCTCAAAGGAACTGACATCTTTGCTTTTAGGCCTTTCAAGAAACGGTCATTGTTCTTGTTGATCTCATCGATTAACTACGACGAGCCAGCTAACCCATAGACACAATCCACTGAGACTTTCGCCAGATGTTCCCAGTGGGTTGCGATTCCGAAATAGCAGTAGATTCTGCGAAGCATTGTTCTTGCTAGAACCAGTGTTAATAGGTACATTCTCGATTACCAGACATAGCTAGTTGGAATAGCCCTTTGAGCCATCAGTGAATAGGTTGGAAAAAAAACAACATCCCATCTTTGGGACTAACTAGATGACAAATACTGGACAATATTTGATCCATTAATGCTATAATTTGAATGTAATATGTCTGCCATTAATATGTTTTTGTTGTTAGCAAACATTTTACATAATAATATATTCCTAACAATAAACAAAAAATAAGAAATCATTATTTTATTGAAATTCTGTCAACTATCATTTCTTATCTTTCAGGAGCTATTGAACATGGAAAAGAACAGAAACGTGTCTCTTCAAGTTGATGGAAAAGGTAAGAAGAAGAAAGATAAAGTTGTGAAAGAGACAGGAGAAGCTTCTGCTGCCGGCAAAGAGAAATGTCTTGTTATGTAAATAAATAACGATTTAGTTTTAACTCTGCCACATTACAATAACTTTTAGTCATTTTGATTCTAGTCATTTAAATCATGTCCTGTAAAATTAAGCACATTTTAGACTAAGTAAGTAATGAATAATGCATTAAAAAAAAGTTTATTTATATAGACGACGCCTTAGACGATGAAATATAAGCCGTAATTTTTCTTACATTACAGAGCTTAAACATATTTGGGAAAAACAATATTTTGCTAATAGTAAGTGTATTAATAATTTGAATACGACTGATTTTAAAAGATAAATGTTACAAAATATTGCTAGTTTGAAAATACAACGAAATTGTGTCTCTAGGACTGTTATTCAATTTTAAATGCTATTAATTAAACATAATTGATATTCGTAACGTTAAACAAACTGCGGTTGCAAATGACGCTATGGCTGAAGAATATTATAATGGAAAGCATATTGTTATGACCTATTTCTAAAGCAGAAAAATACACAGAGTTAAATTTTATTTGTAAACAAATTAGTGAGAGTAATAATAGGTGCCTATTCAACTAACGCTGGTTAACTCAAGAAACGTTAAAATTTTCTCGTTTGTCATATTTAATAAATTTTATAATGCCATTGTTAAAGCATGAAGGATTTCTAGTCATTATTAGAACTTTGCTAGTAGCACGTATTTATTTAATTAATATCATTCACTAACATATCCGACTAGATTTGTCCACGATAGATTTTTAATATACTTACGTCTAGTTGTATGTGTGCTACTCTGTAAGGAATACACATTTTTCGTCAAAATTTCATTAATTAACGTAAAACGCTAGAATTTATTGATTTACACAAAAAAAAATGCTTTTATGTTGACGTTACTTTTATTGGTCCATAAAGAAACCGAACGCGCCTTTTGCTAAATATCTATGGCAGGGTGATAAAAGCAATATTGCAACAATAGTATAATTTTATTTCGGTCACGAAGTGCATAGTGTATTAGCGCCGAGGAAACTCGGAATGCCATCTTTACTTGAGAGATACTCAGGAAACATGAAGTAAATGTATTAAAAGATATTGGCTAGTAGCTTTTAAATTGACAAAGCAGCAGAACCTATATGGTCGGCAATTGAAAAACTGCTTTTAAGTTCAGACGAGATACAAGACGAGTTTTCTCGAATGTACGATAGTAGGCGAAAGTATCAAGAAATTTTCGCCTAGTGCAAAACAATTTACGAATACCGCCAAGGCGGAAAGCAGACGATAGGCAGATGATTGGACTAATATCTTTTTGTGTGCTACCTGTTTGACAGAGTTGTAGTTACAACTAAAGTGCTTTATCGATTACGATAACGCAAAGCCAGCGTTACGTACCAGATTTTAAAGCAGCGCGCCAAATCGGTACGGCAAGGATAAAGAGTCTATATTAATAGAATATAAAGCCACTCCGAGGGTAGTCTACACACAAACCAAAGAAATGACCATCAAATGTGGTGATCATTATCGATCGAAAATATCACCGCTTCTAGTTCAAAATCTACTTACGCGTCTCAGGAAAATACGTCCAATTCGCGTGCGATGGTTAACAGTGAGCGGAAATGTAATGAAGACACCGATCTTATAGAAACCGAACGTAGAGATAGATGCTAAAAATTACACAAAATTCTAGAAAATATGTACTGCATTTCAAATCAAATCAAAAAAATTTTATTCAACATAAAATTCTAGAAAATATGTACTGCATTTGAGAAATCGAACGTTTTTACGAAATGAGGAGTGTTGTTTTCTGAGTATTGTTGTTGTTGTTGTACAAGCATGGACATAAATATGGTGCTATTGTTGCATGCTTTGCATCAAGAAGTGAAAACGCTTTTCAAGCGCGTTCATAAACACGAAAGCTAAAGCAGACCGCCAATAACTACATAATGGAATATCTCGATGTTTAGCCGCGACATACCTCATCGGATACTGATCGGAAAATCTGACGACTTGAAAAGCAAAAGAGGTGCTTTTAAGATTAGGCCAGAGTCGCTAGCGAACGTTCACTCCGGGAGTGGCAAACATCATTAAGACTTCTATTACGGTTTAACGATCAACTTGACAGTGTCGTTCTTATTAAATAAATAATTCGAAACGTTTAAAATATAAATACAATAGACGCACGATTAAACCGTGAAAATTTGTCAAATTATATCAAATTCACTACATACTTCGTGTGTCACGTGATACAAGAGAGATAGCGGCTGTTGATGACGACGAAGGACTCGGATATAACGGTGGGCAGCGGCTTGACTGTGCCCCGAGCATTGCTGAAGTCCATGGGCGATGGTAACCACTCAACATCAGGTGGTATGCTCGTCTGCCTATAAGGGCAATAAAAACCCGCACGCGACAATCTTTCGGCTCGTATTCGAGAGATATTCTCTATTGTATTAACCAGATGACTACTGAGGGTTGTCACCGCTCCAGACGGCAGAAACATCGACATTTAAAAATATCGTTATCATTTGCGTACATCGTTTTTAATATCATGTTAAGTGCTTATAAAAAAAATCGATTGTAATTTTAATCGGTTGTGTGGTAAACCGAACGAAAAGGTACTAGAGCATGATAATTATTATAATAATATATATTTAGCTTATTGGCAGGAGGAACCAAAAATATACATTGAGATAATGATTGTTAATTGCTGAATTGTTATTACCTGGACCAAAGTTGTTTGATGTTGAACGGTATACATTTACAGTTGTAATGTTGTTCTGTTCCGAAACTTGTTATATAGTGATTTATAGATTGTAACGTTCGTTAAACAATGTTCGCTGTTTTGTGTCTTAACGATACAATTACGTCGTTACGTAATATCTCTGTAATTGTTGATTCTTGTCTCTGAAGTCGTGTGAGCTTTGGCTTGAGTTTTCTAATGAACTTTCTAATGAACCTTCTCACTAATACTGTATACATTCCAATAATATCTTATTCGATTATCTTAAACCTATAAGTATATATCTTCTAATTCCAAATTAACAGAATTCGCTTTTTACACAATTATAAGTAAGATATTTCGATAACAAATATGATTAGCTGTAATTATTTTTTTTCACGTTGCCATATATTTACTTATAGAACACTTTTGATAATTTCCTCGTAATTAAAAACTTTGTATTTAAATTCAATAGTATTCGTCAAATTATTCTGTATACTGTAAGTCAATCAATATTAATATAATATTATCGAGAAACATAATATAGTTTTTGTCTGGATTAGCCAAGTCTAGTGCCATTGTAAAATAAAACGAGCAATAATACTGTATATTTTGTCGAATTCATTGATTTGTAATTCGACTTCATGAAAGCATACCATTTAACTTGCTGAAGCTTTTCAAGCTCGACCGCGCATATAGAGGAAATAGGAATAGAGTTTTTGGCATCTTAGTCATTGAATACTAGCTGGCTTAGAAACCAAGAAGGAGAAATTTAATGGTACGTATTAGCGGTAGTAACCAAATCATCAATAACAGATAGTCATGTCCCTTATTTAGAGACATTAGTCGCAGTATACAATCGTAATGTGTAAGTGGGATCACGCTTTGATAAATCAGTACATACTCGAATGATTATTAATTTATTTTATTAGTTTGTTTGCTTCTGTTTTATCAAAGATATCCCTTTCGTTAAACATGTAAAAATGCAATTGTGATAATTAATTTATTACGAGATATAAAACAATAAAAATACGTCCGAGAATTCGTTGAACTATATAATATAGTTTTCATCAAATCACGTTTGAAATATAAATTTCAATTAAGACATTTGGCTGTTTGAATACGATTCATACATAATTTTTGTTAATGATTTTTTAAAGGGTTGCTATTTCTAAAATATAGCTTCTAAGTAATTAATGAATTTTTTTTAAACACTATGTTAAATGATTCCTTTTTGTTATTTTCAAGCGGAAATACTAACTTCTTTATTAAGCAAGTTTTCGTAGATTGATACTTATAATTGATACTCACTTGTCAAAATATTTTTGTATATTTGTGCACAAAATTGTATTAACTTTGTTTTGTTCATACATGATCGATTTTTTAGCATGTGCTCTCGACTGTCCCAATAAGTAAAAAAAAATTTGAATACAGCTTTCAAGTAAATAAAGAATTTAAATCTTACCTATTGATATATCAGCTCAAAATCTCAATCTAAATAAATGTTTTTACCTTTTAAGTAAATATGAGCAGCATATTGGATACAGAAGAGATGATTGCATTTAGATAATGTGAATATGACAATATTTCATTGTTGTTAACCATTAACCTGTTTAATATTAATTCTTTACCTCTATCTTTACTTAACGATCTATTGAATATTTTCCATGTCAATTTTTGTGGTAGTAACGTAGACTTCTGAAAAAAACTATGTAGATCATTAATTTGACATTTACTACAGATTATTACAATATATTACAAACTTTCCCATAATGTTGGACATGCTCATGTCTGTACAAGGTGATGGGTAAATTTCATGTGCTGCGGCTGCGTGTTAGATCGCTTGCAAGCGTGTTCAGTGGGGTCACAAAAAAATAATCATATTTAGTTTATTTTATACATAATTACCAGTTATTTACTGTCTGCAGTCCACGATCTCGTTGTTATAAACGCAATACTATTATGGAGAACATTTCCCAGTCAACATATTGGTTCCTGAAAATCGACTGAGAACAAACACCCATAGTTAGTTTACTAAAAGCTGGGTTTAAATGCCCGCTAATCTCTCTTCTTATCTTGTTTTTTTTTTCTTATAATAAGAAATTATTATTATTATTTGTTCAAGAAAATAATCCCTGTTTGAATTTAATTATATAGTAAGTCGTATTTTCTGTATTTTATGGCGTGATCGTTGGATTCAATTCGATGACTGATTTTCATTTTTCGTACATATTTTTTTTTTTCTTCTAAAAATACAACCATGTGCAGTAAAACTTTCTAAAAAAAAGGTTCTGAAGGGAATCGGTTTAAGGAATGATTTGGGATTTTCAATATAGAATAAACTGCGAACAGTATTTTGATAACAAGAGTTTTCTCCCTATGCAATCAAATAAATTTTAAATTAAATCGATTTTAGCAGACGCAGTAAATTATAATATAAATTTATATTATACCATCATTAACTTCGGTATTCTTTTGGGCATTTCTGAAACTTGTAATATTCTGCACTAAAATACCGATTTTATTTTGCTTATCCATGTACTAGTATAACTATCTTTTAAATCACGATTTTAGTTTGTTCAAAATATATTAAAAAATAAGAAAATGTTTATAAATTTATTATGCTTTTATTTGTTTCGAGGTTCAATCTGTACTGGAAATATTTCATATATGTATATATAAAAACTATTTCTAATTGTCTTCTTACAAAACTTTAACTCTTTTCCACTGTTTATTGTTTATCTCAACGTATACAATAAGAATGTGTTTCACTTTGTACTATTTTAGAATTTATTGGTCTTTATTAAGATTTATTTTTATTATTCTTACAACTACACTACTCACTGCGATATCACGAAAATAAAATAATAAGCATTTTTCATTGTTTTATTTTTATTTTACTCGGCATTTTAGTGGTTTAAATTTCAATTTGTACAAAACTATAAAAAAGCAATCACGATTAACACTTAATAAATACGTCACAATTAAAAAAAAAGCGTGTATACAATTTATGTTACTTATCAAAAATCAAATAAAATACTAGATGAAAACATTAACACGTTTTTAAAATCATAACAAGCTCGGGAAAAAGATCACAGATTTCACTTTGTAAAAATATAGCTGTTCATAACACTGTTAACTCCGACTAATTGAAATAAAGACGTTTATTAACGAAATTTGAATCAAAAGTTTATTTAATAATCCTCTTGAATCCTCACGATTATTTTTATATTACTGTAAAGGCAGGCACACACTTTCGATTCGCCAGCCCCGCTTTTAAGTCTTGTGTGTAGGCTTTAGGTTGGGAAGGTATGAGGTCACTTTTATTAAAATTTGTACTCGAGCTGCTGAGGTGTGAGTGGTGGGACCCTTCAAATGCAATCTAAATGCAGGATTGTTTCACGGTAGAAACAGACTATGGAAGCACCTGTGTGGGCTCACAATACGCCCTAATAACATTTGTTACGCAAAACTACGAAAAATGAGGCGTCATTTTTATTACAAGGCACTATCTATTTCGTCATCGTCAATGGCGTTCCCGAATGTGTTAGGTACGTATATTTTTCGATCAGATACAGAGCGTGATGAGTATTTGGCCGGAAATTGTTCACCCTGAATTTGTCTTTAAAAATAAATATTACTTTCCTATTATGGCTGTTTGTTTTATTAGCGTGGTTGGGATAACAAGTTCAGAACTTCTTCTTGGCTGTTAGGTTACCAGAGGGTGAAAACACCACTACGGCGCCACTCACGTGAAACGTGGAGTCGAGATTCGTCTGGTATTGTTATTACAATCGATCAATTGAATCTCGACGAAAAATTGAAAGAAGCTATTGCTTTTAAACCGGAAAGCATGGTTGCTTTACGGCAGAAAAGGAGATGGTGGTACCTTTCCGTAAATGGATGATATTTTTCACAACATGACAATATTGTTGCCAGTTGCTGCTATAGAAATTCGTGTATGTTTTTTTTGTTTCCTTTGGGGTCTCGGCGACTAGACTTTTTTGCATTTTTTAATTTGATTTTAAAACATCGTATCTTAAAATGGTCACACCGATAGATATTAACAATACTTAACCAATTACAACGTTATGTTAGAACGTTTATGAAACCGTTAACTTAACAACGTTTAAATCTAGTTGTCCTAAGTGACTTTCTTAATTCAAGCGATTTGAATATTTTTCGATTAATGATCGCCACTGGCATTAATAGAAAATTTATTTTTCCGATCGTTATTACTAAAATTAGAGCAGCTTTCTTTCGATATATTTAAACTGGGCAATCGGCCTGTACTGGCAGATCTTCGTATCTGAGAAGTGCTTTGCACTGCGTTCATTTGTAATGCCGGTCTTTGTCTGTTGTTACTAGCTGCAGTATCCAAGGCACGTGCACACACATCCAATAGTCTGTCTATTGTGGCGGGTTGTATTGTTTCCGTTGTATCTAAACTCTGTTGCTCTCTTCTACGCGGTGAGCTACGAGGTTCGTTTCTCCGTGTCGTCGTAGCAAGGCGTTTTAAACCAGAACCCAGAAGGGCCGGAGCGCTCAACAAGGTGTTGTACATTGTTATGAATAGAAACAATAACAAAACAACAACAATTAAAATCATTAATAAACCATGCACAATTTTATTTAACGGGAAATATAATCCATCTGGAACAAAATAAATAACATTCTTTAGAAAAAAAGGATCCTAAACTTGTATTAGAATTATTTAGAATCCCTATTATGTTTGATGCTCTTAGGAATTTGGCGGCATTTATAGCATTAAAAAATATTTACGTAACATAAGTTAAATTCCATTTTTCCAGGTTTTGTGAATTATGTCGTATACCTAGTCAATGAGTGTCAAATGATAAATTGCAATACAAGATAATAATTATCTTTTTTATTGCATTCGTGAATAAACGGCTCACGGCCCGGGCCACTTTAATATACTTCGATAGCACATGACTTCGAAATCTCAATTGTATTGTCTGGCTTGAAGTGTTAGACTGCCAATTCTTTAACCCGGAATGCATGATCGCTTTGCGTCAAGATGGTGGCATATGCTACTTGGTCTCATTAACCCATAGACACAGCCCACTGAGTTTCTCGCCGGATCTTCTCAGTGGGTCGCGTTTCCGATTCGGTGGTAGATTTTGCAAAGCACTGCTCTTGCTTTGCTCTTGCTGCACTTTTTTTTGCTTCCTTAAGTACTTAATACTTGTAGACTCTGAGCCACATAGGTTGAAGCCTCAACTACTTCTTTATCAAAACAGTATTTTAAATCACTAAAATAGTATTTACCTGTAATGCCAAGAAGGATTGTATTAACTGTGTCACAAGTGATGATCATTGGTTCGGAGATCAAAACCGAAAACATCCTGACAGCAATCTTTAGAGGATCCATGTGCTTGTAAAACGTTAGCAAATCTGGTTTAGGTGCTTCGCACTCTGACCAAAATTGCCATTTACATTTTTGTATTGCTGATAGAAATGTTTCAAACTCTTTTTGCTCAGCTTCCTAGAAAATAGTCTAATGTTAATTACAGCTATGATATAAAAAAATATATAATGAAATGATCACCTTTATCTTTTAGGATTAAGTTAATCAGATTGTGTAAATTTGCATACTAGTTCAGTTTAGTTCAGTCAGAGTTATCTAAGTTTATTGATGTGTTTTATACCTGGTTCTGTATCCTCTATTGGATTCTTGTTCGGAAATTTATTTATATTTTTAACTTTAAAACTACTCAAATCTAGACATATCATTTTAAATTAGTTCAAACCTTATAGGAAATGATAACATTGTAGAAATAAAGGAGCACCAATATAAATTTCCATTTATGTTGTTTAATATGTCTCCAGCTCCAAAGAATCACTCCTACAATACTTAATGTGATTAAGGCATAAGTTATTTGGACCTGTAACCAATAAAACATTGCAAATTTTTATGTTCAATACCTTTTTTATATTAAAAAAATACACACAGGAAAGTTTTGCGTTTCACTTTAAAAATAAGAATTAATAAATAATAATCCATGAATTTCAGAAAGGTACAAAAGCATGCTGTTTTTAGTAATATAGCATTAATTTATATATGTAATGATGAAAAGTGGCCTTGGTAAGATAAGTGAATTTCAGTAATTAGAGAAAACTATGTTGGGTGTATGTACCTTATACTCTATGAGAAACGTGTGGACGTATTCATTCCAAGCCATTATGGTTTCTTCAACAATTGTAGGTTTATAAATAGCTCCTTCAATGTATCCTAAAACACGACGAAAAGTCTCTTCAGAGAATGGCTCATCAGACTCTAGATAACTGTTTAGAGTCTCCCATCTTTCGTTATTGAATTTCATATGAGTAGAAATTTCAATATCTCCTTCATCTTTTCTCTGAAACACCAGTTTTTGTTAAAGATTAAGCTGGCTGACAAGCATAATGATCCAAACATTTGGATAAGAATATTAACATGTCAGAAAGAGTTTTAGTGGCTATCGAGCACTCTGCCCAAAGCAGTCATGTGTTCCAGTTTGAAAGGTTATGGGAGGCATTATACTAAGTCTGTCAATGCAATATCAAAAGAAATATGGGCCACCATAATTTTAAGTACAGTACAGGTTGTGTTTGTTTATGGGTGTATTTCAAGATGATTTCTATGTACTTTAGTGACTTTCAGTGACATAGAATTTTTTTGGCAATTACAGACCTGTTCTAAAGGTCACTTCGTTAAGCAGTTGAATGCAGTTCTGACACAGGTATATTTAAATTTTAATAAGTTACTAATTTGCAATGACTACAAACAAGGTGTAAAATATACCTGTGTTCGGCTACCTTTAATCAAGATAGCAACCGTTCTTCTAAACGCCCATTCTCCGATCCCTGCACTTCTTTTGTTTATAACAGTTTTTTGTGTTGTTAGAGTTTTTATATCTGGTGGAAGATTTTCTTCTATGGAGACTACATTATTATCATAGTGCCAAGGGTCAGGACCCGTTTGCCTCTGACATACCATAATATCAATCCAATTATAAAATATTATCAAATACAGAAGGTACAAATTCATTGTAATGTCTCAAAATTTTCAATGTTAAACGTTGTGTTTTTATAATATTGCTATAATATCTCTTTCATTTATTTACTATGTATAAAGCTATTGTTTATTCATTGTACATTTTCAGTTATTGTTTACTCATGTAAGTTGTAACATGACAACACACGATAAGTGTGATAACTATAATGAAAGGTTAAATGTATTATCAAATATGCAGAGGACATTTAATTCTTTGAAACTTTTTTGAAAGAGCAGATGTTGCTCAATAAGTATTTAATATATTTGTCTAGTATTTGTTAAAAGTATTAAATTTATGTACCATGTTGACATTTCTTTTCATTATTATGATTGATTAAAATGATGTAGTCTGTCATTGTCATTGCTGTCATGTTTTTTTGTTTTATTTGTCGAACAAGCAAAATAAACAGAACCCATTCAGCTACATTTTTTGTAATCAAGATCGAAGCTATATTTGATGCCTGAAAAGTATAACGTAACCTAAGTAAACGAAGTGAGTTAACTCACCTACTTACTAACATGGTGGGAATTCATTAAGATTTAATAGATTTACTGGAAGAACTTTTGCTCTTTTATAGATGCCAAATTTAGAACTCTCATAATAATATGTTTTTATCGAGACAACTGGAGGAAAATATTTGAGTGCGAGTTGTGATTATTTCAGTGTATTTTGTAAAATTGACCTGACCAATACAAGTAATCAAAACCTCGCCCTTGTTTATCTTCCGTGCGCTGCTTCACGTCAGATGTGTTTTGAATGCTACAAACCTATAAACTGCAATTGGCTGAAGGCCTAGTACAACTAGCCACTTCAACAGCATATAATAAATAAAAAAAAATCTCACCTCTGCTTTGTTTTTTATGTCAGAGCAGTGTTCATACTAAGTATGTTTCACAGCTTGCTTTCGCAGTTAGACTTTCGCGTCTAGCTTCTGTGGCTGTGTACAGTCACCATGAAAAGTATTTTTTTATTTTTCCTTAATTGAGTGGATGATTTCACGGCTCACCTTGTATTAAGTGCCCTCCGGAGCCCATACACATCAACAACGTAAATGTCGCTACCTAATGAGACATGAGCTCTAAGCCTTAGTTTCGAAATTCAACGGTTGCCTCCCTTTTCAAACTGAAACCCATTACTCCATAATGCCAGAAATAGGCAAGGTGATGGTACCAAGCCGTGCGGGGTCACATGACACCTTACTACCACTAGTTACGAAAAGTTTATTTTTTGCGGGTTTGATATATATTTGTGGATTTGAACACTTGTATAGTCTCAAAAACAAGACTCGGCTGTATGGGCTGGCCCCTTTTGTATATTTAATGTAGGAAGAAAAAAACTAAATTGTAGAAAAAATAAAAATACAAAAATTTAAAAATCTGAAAATTACGGCATTCCAAATCAGTCCGTCAGCTTTCTTAGCGGCCAATGCCAACACTGGCAATATCTGCGAAAATGAGAAAGCGCTCTACAAAAGAAGCAATCAGCTATAAATTTTTTTAAGGGATTTTATGACCAGGTAACTAAGACCTTTAAATCATGTCTTATATTTTAATTTATATTCATATTTTTATGAAAAATGATATTATGGAGTGAAATGAAATGAAGATGATTAATTTGAGACATTAATCAACTGGTATGAATTTTATTTCAGTCCATATTATCATTTTTCACAAAAAAAGAATATACATTATAAGACATAACTTAAAAGTCTTAGTTACCTGGTCATAAAATCACTTTAAAAAAAAGCGACTGTCCCGACATTTTGGATTTTTTTAAAACTTACAATTTACAAACTACCTCGATTGATTGTTTCTTTCCGCGACATTTAGGCTGTTGTACTTTGCTAAAACATGGTAGGGAAAGGAAGTGTAAAATGCTCAAAATGCGGCATTACATCAAAAGAATATTTTCCTTAACCTTCCATAGGTTTCCTCTTCCGTCCAAGCATCGGTCTCTGAGGTAAGTAGATCAAACATTAATATTTGGATTAATTTTAGATAAACGTCCTCCTGATTTTACAAGTTCTAACTTTTTGCACAATTCCGACCTGAATTATGCAAAAAGTGTACTTACTTAATATTATTTTGAAGATTGCTTAGAACTTTGTTTTTTAATTTAAAGTAGAACAGCTTCATACTTTATACCTGTGTACAATGAAAGCATTATTTTTTTAGGGCTAAACTTTGGGCTAAATTTTGGTTTTCCTGATGGTGATTGGACATCCAATGAATCGTTAGAAAAGTTGAACGCACAGCATAGGATGCTATGTGGCAATCATTTTGATGATTCTTCATTTACCAGCAGCAACAGGAAAAGACTTCCATCTGAAGCTCAAAGTATACTTTCCCAATTAAGAGACGAACAGTGTAGTCCATCTAAAGCAAGTCATGATATCCAAGTGAGTATTTACATAGTTTACTTTATAATCATAAAAATATTACTCAAAAAATTATAAAACAGTTACGGGCATTAAACTTCTTATCTCGTGATAATATTCCATAACAAATCAAAAAAATATTGATTTGTATCCTTTTCATATTGAAGAAAGTCTTCTCCCAAGTAAAACATATTCACTTATCCTATATAGAATAGGTAGATATGTTAGGATACACTTGGGGGAGGTAGATAATTAATTTATTCTGATGTAGTTATATCACATTGGTTATCTTGACATAGTACTTGAATTTCAAATTGTGAAAAAGAAATAAACATCACTTTTAAGAAAATATTTTTTTCCAAAATAATATTAAAACATGTAAACCTACATAGAATACATAGATCGAAAGTATTAAAGTTACCAAAAAATTTACTTTAAAGGAATTAATTTTCTAAATTTTTTATTTAAATTTGAAATTTGTGATTTAATTATTTTTGTATATTTTCCAGGAACCATCAATAAGTAAAGGTATTTTGAAGGACTTGGATGTGAAAAAGTTCACTGAACTTACACCTAAAAAGCAAAAGCTGCATAAGAGATGCAGAAAAACCTATCTGAAATAATGAGGCTCTTAAGAAAGTTTAAAGGTGTTAAAAAATCCAAAAGATCTATATTAAGTGTACTAACATCAAATGAACCTACTAATGAATTATTAAAAAGCAAATTAAGTAGTTAATTTTATTTACTATTACAAAGCCAACTGAACAACGTTCCAAGAAAATTAACTGGATGGAGATGGACACTGGATGATAAAGTGTTAGCCTTAAGCATTTATAAGAAATGAGTTGACTATTATCAAAGCCGGCAATGTGACTTTTGGACAATTATTGGTAAATCAGAAAAACGAATTATTGACTTTGTATTCCATTGGCATTCACAAAACTCTTCTGAACGACATCTTAGATAAATAACAGGTTAAGTATTAACCTTTATTTAATGCAGGTTTTGAACCGTATTCTTTGAAGGAGACGATTATATTCAAATCAATCTGTATTGACATATCAATAACATTTTTTTGTCCAAATGCACAGATTGCCTCCTTTGATAATAGACGACTCAAATCAAACTGTTGTTATAGATTATTAGTAGGTTATTTTGTTGATCCAATTCATATTTTATGTGAAAGTAACGAAGAGCTAGGAGATATGCCTCCTCAGTGTTCTGGTGAAATGCAAGCATGTGCTTATCTTTGCGGATTTATTGTAAAAAAGATGGCACTCAATTGTACTCTTTGTAAAGTATTATGCTAGCAGACCAGAACACATAGGTATGTCATTTGTTTACATTGTTCAAAGAATATGATGATGTTAAATGTAGTTTAAATTACATTCAGTACAGTTTTTGTAAAATGGTTGAAAAGGCTGCAAATTTGGTAAACAATTATCTAAAAGATCACAGTCACACAGAAAAAATTAAAATGAATTTATATACTTTATTAACTGAAAATTTGGACAAAGATTGACTAAAGGGATGTGAAGAACATTACGCAGTCAATATTGAAACAATTATAAAAAGTACAATTTCTATCTGTTTAAAAAGATTTTGTAAAATAAAAAATGGAAGAAGCGTCCAAAAATCATGGAAGAGAAAAATAAATATATTGAAAAACGTTTAATATTAAGTGATGATGTATGTAAAGTGTAAATCGATTAAATATTCAACCATTTCATTAAATTATAAAAAATGCATTAATTTTATTGCAATTAACTTATATTGCAACTTAACTATTAATTGCAGTCCTAGTGGTAAAACAATTACAGTTATCTCAGATTGATGTCAGATTATTTACAAAACATTTATGCTCAACACATTTGTAAATTTAAAACAATACTTTATTGTCAGATAATACCTTTTATAATTCTACAAGAAACTAAAATTAGTATGTTTCGAGTTTAGGAGTCATTAATCATCAATAAATGATAGATTTTCATGTTTATAAGTCATATAACACCCGTGTTCAGTTACTACGTAACTTCATCTAATTAGTTACGTTTCAATGACGTCCCTTTCAAGGATATTTTATATTAAAAGTTTCTCTATGTTTAAATATATTGAATTATTATAAAATAAGTAAAAAAGTCATCAAGTATGTAATTTATATATATTTATTGTTAATAAATAACGACACCATAATTTTACCACACTAAATCTTTTATATGAAACAGTCAATTACACTGTGGTAAGCCTTTTACAAATAACGTAGATTTTCTCATTAATTTATTACAGTAAAAAACTTAATTCTAATTTTAAATCTAAAATCTAATCTAAATGTAAATTTTATATCCTTTAAAATTATTCTGCCGCCACGCGCAGTGCTGTATATAATATAAATACTTTAATTCTTAATAAGAATATACATTAAGACTTTTTGTTTTTAATTATGGTAGCTTAATAAAATTGTTACCCATGTACAATCCTTGTTTTATTTCTCTACATGAAATTATTCCTTAATTAAATTCTCTACTTGCATGCCATTTTAAATTCTCGCGCCATACGTTAGTACCGATGGCATTAACTGGGGCGTTGGTGTAAGCATTTTTTTACTATGAAGCTGTTGTTCTTCTTCGCTAGAAGTAATAGTGTTCTGTGTTCCAAATTGTCCAAAACAAGTAATAGTGTTCTGTGGTCCAAAACTTATGATTTTATTTCTTTCTTAGTTTGGTTTGTTTCTTTTATTTGTGTTTTATTGTAAGTCATGTTCTATTTTTTTGTGAAATTAGTTTAAGCTGATGGCCGTGTTGCCAATGCTTTCAATAAATAAATAAAAAAAAAAAATTATGATTTTACGCTCTGTGAACCTGGCATAACCCCTCGAGGCTACCAGAATAGGGAGGCAAAAAAATATTGTATTATCATTTACGAAATACAAACGTACAATTCGTTCCTTTAAGTTATTTAAGTTTCAGTGTTAATAAACATGTCATCAATTGATTTCGATCCAGCTATAAAATTATGTTTAAAATACTTACATTCAAGTTCTGTTGATTCTACGGAACAATTGCGATTGACTCTCGATGATCACATCAGACAATCATATGGTAGTGCAAAAACTCTCGGTAATATGTTACCGAAGAAATATCTTAACGAAGAGAAAATGGAGACACCTAGATCCAAACACAAAATAGATAAGAATGCAGTAACTAAGACGGTTCCTATACCACAACAAAGTCCACAGCAAATTCAAATACCTGAGAGAGAAAACGATGATGGTTCAGTTATGGATGGAGAATTGGCTTTTGACTTGTTAGAGGAAGACTTGACTTGTGCTGTCTGTAGACAAATAGCTGTGCAAGCCGGAAATCGCTTAGTGGAGTGTGATGGGTGCCGGGCACTGTACCATCAGGTTTGTGATGATAAAATTTATGATAAAATAGTACAACAAAACATTTGATAAGCTAAATCTGAACATAGATGTATGTTCCATGTCATATATCACATGTTAAAGGGAATCGAATTAGTGTAGGAAAATAATCTTGATCTATTGAGCTAAATTACGTTTTTGTAATACAAATGAAGTTAAATTAGAAGGCGTTCATAGATTATTTTTTACATTACTTTAGGTAGACAAATAAGCATTTTGGCCACTTTATAAATACAAACAAAAACTTATAAACAGTAATCAATATAATGCTGCGACCTGGAGATATAATTATTATAAAAATAAAGTGTTATAAAAATAGTACTCTATCCCTTTAAAGTAGTATACGTGACTGCTTTGTGACTGCCTATCTGGCTATAAAAGTATTGATTTATAATATTGTTATTCTTTCTACATGAAAACTACATTATACATTTATTAAGAAAAGAAAAAAGCTATATATCTGTTGCCAAGATTTGAACATTTTGAATTTATTTGATTGCAAAAGCTATATCACAGTATTTCTGGCATTGCTTTTGGTGTGTGAGGCAAAATTTTATTTATTCTTGAGAGTTCAATTGAAACAGTATTCAATTACAAGTGTTATTCTATCTATTTTTTCCAGGATTGTCATAAGCCTGTGATCAGTGACAATGATATCGCTGCAGGTTGGCAATGTGCAACCTGTCTTGCAGCACATGGATTTACAACTAATTATTCAAGTAAAACTTCATCGAGCTCCAAGTCACCATCAAGAGTGTCTGGTTCCACAACCCCTGTAAAAATTTCATCTAGCAGTTCATCTTCATCATCACCATCGAAAGTTGTTACTCCAAATATGAATATCATTTCTGCAGACAAAAGGTTGCAGATAATGAAGAAGAAAGCTGCAAAACAACATGAAAAGAAGAAAAGCTCTAAGTCGTAATTACATATTATGTCGCTTAAGTGACATTAAGTGTAATTCTATTGATTAATAATGGTTAGATTAAAATTCCACAGCCAAGTACCAATCTTTAAAATTAAATACGGTAAAAGCTCCTGATTCGCGCTTCCTTCATAGGCGTTTTCACCATTCACAGGTTTTAAAATGCAACTCAGTTCCTATAGTATTTGCGGCTAAAGATGTCTTTATTTGCGGATCTAATCAGTACAACGATAGATACACAATGATAAAAGGATTCCAATATGTATAGGCCTCTAATCGAATAAAATATATCCTTGTAAACGCGACCTCAAATGCACTAATAAAATAGTAAAATAGATCTTAATAAAACTACGCCTAAAGTATGTTGTTATGATATCGCTTTTTTTGAGAATGTAAACAAACAGAATGAAATCAACCTTAAAACACATCGCATAAATTCTATTTTTAAATACGGCTACGTGAGACGTTCCGTTCTTTTGTAAGAGTAGCGTTTTTTTATTATTTCGTCTTTACGATTCCATATTCACGGTTTCTTTATTCGCGGCATATATACCCCGTGAATAAAGAGCTTTTAATGTACATACTTAACAAGTGGTCACAGCTTAATTACATGATAAAGTAATACCATCATTGAACAATGAAATTTTACAGAATTCGCAAACGTATTATCACTATCCTGCTCATTTTTGCCCAGAATCAGTCACATGTGGATTAGACAAACAGTGGTAGGATTGTAGTAGGACCATTTTTGAGCCGTTAAGCTGTTTTACTATTGTTAGTAATATATACATAATAATATGTAATTTAAAGAAATAAAATTGAAAACAATTTTTTTTGTCCTTCAATTATTATCCTATTCCTCAATAAAGTTAATTTATGTAGATTGTACGTATTGGCAAAACAGGTTTGGCCAGAAACATCATAGTCGGAGGTGGAAAAACGTCATGGTCAAACTGATGGTATTCATAGATGTAACACCGTCACTTACCCTAGGACCATTGGTCGAAGTCTCAATCACCGCTCAATCTCAATCACTCTTCAATCATCAAGATTAATCGTAAAAGTGCTAATCACATTTGTTGTATTCTAAACACGAATTTGTAAAGCTCTGTTAGCATTTTTGAATAAGACCATAATGTAACTTTAAAATCACTTGTTTTGTGCGATGTACAAGCGTTTTAACTTTCTCTAGAAACTGAAAATTTGCATTCGAAGCTTAATCTAGTGCTGTACATTGCAAATTATTAACAAGTGTCACTATGAAGTTTTTGTGGGTTTATGGAAAAAAGAACAATAAAATTAAGTTACTTGATCTCGAGTGCCAGGCACTCCAGAAATACATATTTCCGACAATACTGACTTGTAACATTCCTACTTGGGATACTACTAATGTAGGTATATATTGAGCGAAGACACTATCTGTGTAGGAATATACGACAAAGGGAAGATCTTCCACCGAGTGGGTGATATTGCTCGGTAGACCGACGGTCCGAATGTTGTTGTTCAGAACTTGTATATATGCGCTTTATCTTGAAAATGTCGTAAGCGAGATTCAGGCATCTGTCAATTATCTTGCGTTGTATGATGGCTACCCGCCACATCTGCTCTTAAATACTTTTTTGTTAAGTTGACATGTAGGTATCTACATATCTGAGTCACAACGTATTTCATCACTATAAGACGTCCAAATTTGCACACAATTTAAGGACCGATGACGATACCTACTATAATTTTAATTAACTTTCCCTAATAATCTTGACCATGATCAGTAGAAGAAAAATATTGAACAATTTTTTTAGTTCGACCAGCTATAAAAGGTTATTTACTAAGAAGGTAGGTACTTTGCGCTAACGGGGGAGATTTGGCATACCTAGTTAGATGTAGGTATAGTAAGCATGCAGTTTATTTGATCTGAGGTCCGTATGTGCGGTAAATGAAAAAATTACATCTTAATCAAAATTACAAATAAAAAAAAAACGCGAAATTCGCTCACCGGCTGACCACTGGTTACAATTACTTCAACAACATCCCCCTGATATTATCGTGTTAGTGTCCCGATTATTTTTGTCGTGAAGAAAACACGTGCTTCTGTTTGAAGCATAGGATGTCTAGCTGGCTGTTAACGGTAGGCAGCGGCTTAGCCCTGGTATTGCTGATGTCCAAGGGCGAGGGTAACCATTCACCATCAGGTGGGTCGTATGCTCGTATGCCTACAAGGGCAATAAAAAATAAATAACATTATTTCTGATGTACAAAATTAACGCGAGTGAAGTTTACTGGTTATATGGCGTATTACACATACCTACAAATGTCCACCATCCTGCATTTTTCTGCCGTGAAGCGATGATGAGGTTAAGGTACAGCAGTAGAACAGCCGTCATACAAAAGGTACAATTGAAATTTCGACCCCATCTCTAAAGATTGATGGCGTAATTCACATTATGACATAGGTATTTGGGAGTCGGTAATCTTTTTACACTAGCTGAGCCGTGACCCAAATTTCGTAATATGTAGGAACTTTAACCGCCTTATTCCATTTTGATTATCTTCAATGAGAAGGCTGAGCCGAGGAAGCGCGCTTTTTATCTTGGCTCCCACTTAGGGAATCGCTAAACGCAGTTTTTGCCTGAGCGTTCCAGTTCCGTCGGCTATCTATAGATCCGGGTCAAGCAGGAGGGGCGACCGTTCTCAGCTAGACACGTGGCCTACCAAAGGACACCTGATCGATTGAGTCATCTCTGATCATCTTTTATACCACATTATATCAGAGGACCTTGATAAAGTCTCAGATTCAGTCATCATCAGATTCAGACTAGGTATAGGTAGGTATACAAAATTCCGAGCGATAGCCATTCAAAACATAATTGAGGCCTTTAACCTTATGTTTCTAGGTTATTTACGGCATTTAGGATGTGATGTCTATGGGCAACGTTAATGATACACACCATGTGTACTGTGGACTCGATTGCCCTACTGGAGCAAAATCTTAGTCCCCTATTTATTAAAAACGTGAACAGGTGCGCTCAATCCTTCTATCTCCTAAATTTGAGATTGAAATTGGAATTTTGCGCTTTAAGGTGGTAAATTGTTACGTCATAACCTCATGGTGGATATGGACTCTAGTACCCTTTTTATTTTTTATTTATTGCCCTTGTAGGTATACGAGCACACGGCCCACCTGATGGTGAGTGGTTACCGTCACCCATGGATTTCAGCAATGCCAAGGCCAGAGCCAAGCCGCTGCCTACCGCTTAATACTCTCCACAAGCCTCGTTTGAAGAAGGTCAAGGTGGGTGGCGCATTTACGCTGTAGATGTCTATGGGCTCCAGTAACCATTTAACACCAGGTGGGCTGTGAGTTCCTCCACCCATCTATACAATAAAAAAATAAAATAAAAAAAGGTCATGTCATCGCGCTCGGGAAACACCGTGGAGGAGAGCCCATTCAAAAAGCTAGCGATCCACTTGCAGATACCCTCGGGGATTCCATAAGAAGTTAGCTTCGACAGAAGTGCCTTATGCCAGACCGTATCGAAGGCCTTCACGATATCAAGGCTCACAGCAAGAGCCTCGCCCTTGCTCTCCAAGGCTTCAGCCCACCTGTGAGTAAAGTATACAAGAAGTTCGCCAGCTGAGCGACCGTGACGGAAACCGTACTACCGGTCACTGATCAGCTGGCGATCCTCAAGATACTTCAGGAGTTGTATATTTATTATTCGCTCCATCACGTTGGAAAGCAAGGAAGTTATCGCGATAGGCCTATAGCTCGATGGGTCCGACCGGTCACCCTTCTTGGGGATAGGGTGGACGTGGGCGGTCTTCTATGAAGACGGAACCCTGTTAGTGCAATAAGAGAGGCGATACAAACGCGTTAGCGCAGGCGTCAGCTCAGGAGCGCACGTTTTCAAAACCATTGCAGGGATGCCGTTTGGCCCACTCGACTTATGGACGTCCAGGAGTCGGAGTTCCCGCCTGACTGCATACTGTGTGAAGCAGATCTCCGGCAGGGAACTATTACATCGGAGGATGTTCGGTGGTTTGGCACCCCCGTCGTCCACAGTCGAGTTCGAGACGAAGAGTTTGAACAGAAGGTCAGCCTTCTCACTATGGGCCAGACTGTCATCGGACTTGCGTAGTGCTGAGAGACTAGACCTGCAAAAATTTCCTTCTGCAGCTAAACGCTCAGCTGTTCAATTTAGCTAAAGCCTAACGAAAAATAAGTTTGAGTGCATTCGAGTCCGCTTGTGAACAACGTAGTCTATTCTACTGATAACAAAACAGCACAGTTATATCTACGACTAATATTTTGTTGCTTGATGGTAAGATAGTTAATAACCAAAGTTAATCAATGATCGATCTGTCAAAAAGTTAAAACTCAATGATTTTACCTACTTAATCTTAATGTGTAGTAGAACAAACTCACTTAAAATGTTTATTTAAGACGAAAGCTCTCAATGTTAACATAATGTACGCTCCTGAAATTTGAACATTGACGCTTGTTGACAGAAACACAAGCAAAAAGGATTACTTTCTGATGTTTTTCAACATTTGTAACCAATCCTGAAAGTTCGTTACTGTGATTGGCCGGATTCTGAAGTAGGGCGGATCGGGATGAACGGGATGTTACGCTGAGTTTCTGGTGACTACGCTCTTTTGAGCCTAAAACAAATGGAATAGAGTCAATTGTAGCGCTGTGATGTAGAGATACAAGCTAATTTTGTTACGCCTACTATCTTATTTTCTGTCTATCGTTTTCTGAAAATCTCGAGTTCATAACGATAAACGTCAGGTTGAAGAGTGCTGCGTGGGCGGAACGTATACTATCGAGTGTTTTGACAAATTTAATACAAATATTGATAAACAAAATTACAGTGTAAATTAAAAAATCTTTTTAATTAAATTATCATCAAATAATTAGGGACTAAAAAAGTGTTTCGTTGGACGTTAGTAACAATTTTTTTTTCAAGTTTCAAGTTAAATTGTTGAGTGAAAACGAATATTTCTTTTATTGCGAATTATGTTGAACAACAGTGGTAGAGCTCGGGTGCCAAAATGTGCACGCTGTCGCAATCACGGGCTTATTTCAAGCTTACGGGGTCACAAAAAAGCATGTGCCTACCGTCACTGTCAATGTCCTAAATGTGGGCTAATTAAGGAAAGGCAACGAATCATGGCTGCACAGGTATGAATTTTATAAGATAAAAATATGTATCAAAGTGTTTAGATAGTTTGACTTACCATCTGTGATATTTTATGAATCTTTCTTACCTCTCTTATCTCTTAGGAGCTCCCCTCTTGTTTACCTATATAAACTGTAATTTAATTTTCTAACATCACTCCATACGTTAAGAGTTTACCTTGTGTGATATTATTATTAATTACGTTTACTACGTCTGCGTCTACTTATTTATTAATTTACAGTATGATCCCAACACATAACACATTTACCTATTGTTTACGAATAATAGCAAATAAAAGCGCTCTTGGGTACATTAAAAGTGATTTACCCGAGGAAAGCATTGAATAACCTATCTGGAATATATCCAAATAGAACAAACTCTTCAAAATTGTGTGTCAATTCATTGTCTTAAGGGAATTCGTATATATTGGAAAATAGTATGACTTAGAAACGAATTAGCTGCCCAAGTTTTTAAATACGTTTATTATTTCGATTACTATCGAAAGCGCACGAGGTTAATCGAGGTCGATCGTGGATATTAGCAAAGAACACCCAAGCCACTGCCGAATGAAGATAACTCTTTTTAAGTTTCGATTGAAGAAGGATACATAGCGCTCGGGAAAATGTCTTTGAGAGTAG